GGAAAAAGAAGACATATGTAAAACTTTAGACAATAATAAAAAAATAAAATAAAGTCTATGACTCCACTCTGGCTAGTGTGCTCAATGGTTAAGCACCGACCTGAGCACCAAAGGGTCTCAGGTTCGATTTCCAGTCAAGAGCATGTACCTGGGTTGTGGCTTGCTCCCTGCTGTCCAGAGGCATCCAATCAATGTGTTTTTTCACAGCCCAGTTTCTCTCTCCCCTCTGTCCTCTGCCCACTGCCCTCTCCCTCCCTCCCTTCCTCTTCCCTGCCCCTTCTCACTCCTTCCCTTCCGCTCTCTGAAAAGCAATGGGGGAAAATCCTCAGATGAGGATTAACAAAAATAAAAAAATAAATGTGTTTCTGAATCTCTTCTCAGATGTTTGTTTATTGTTACCCCTCTCATTTTCAAAATGAAAAGATGAACTATCAAATAATAATAAAGTCTATGAAACAAAAAACTATGATAGAGAAAAGAAAAATTTCAATAGATTAAATGACGAAGTTAGAGAAATTGCCAAAAAAGTAGTATGAAAGTCATGAATGTAATTTCTAAATACTGATTTAACAACAACAAAAAGGAATAATAGCTATACCAAAAGGGAAGTGGAGAAAAGGAGTGACTTAAGAAAGCTAAATCCTGCCCAGCTGGCGTGACTCAGTAGTTGAGCGCCAACCTATGAACCAGGAAGTCACAGTTCAATTCCTAGTCAGGGCACATGCCCAGGTTGGTCAACCTATGAACCAGGAAGTCACGGTTTGATTCCCAGTCAGGGCACATGCCCAGGTTGCAGACTCGATCCCTAGTAGGGGCATGCAGGAGGCAGCCAATCAATGAATCTCTCTCATCATTGATGTTTCTATCTCTCTCTCCCTCTCTTTTCCTCTCTGAAATCAATAAAAATATATATTTTTTTTTAAAAAAGCTAAATCCTCACCTGATATATAGTAGGAAATTAGTAGCTAATGTCTTAAAATGATGACTCAGGACAGAGGAGATGCATAATATGTAGTCAATGAGGTAAATACTAGAAAAAAAATAACAACAGTTGGAAGTGTTTGTCTCTGGTTTTCAAAGGGGTGCATATATTCATTTGACAAAAGTCAGTTTTTAAAAAGTGATTTAAACTTGCCCTAGCCAGTGTAGCTTGGTTGGTTGGAGCGTCATCCTGTACACTAAAAAGCTGTAGACTAGAGTCCCAATCAGGGCACATACCTAGGTTGTGGGTTCAATCCCCAGTTGGGGAATGTACAAGAGGCAACCAGTCAAATGTTTCTCCCTCACATCAATGTTTCTGCCTTGTCTAAAAATCAGTGACTATGTCCTTGGGTGAGGATAAAATATATATATATTTTTAATCATATATGTATACATGTTTTTTAATGACAAGTCTATTTGGCTTATGTATATAGATTAGAGGTAAATTAATGTGCAGAAGTATAGGTTACAGGAGAGTTCTTACTTCCAAGTGAGCTTTGTTTTGAATTTATATTATGCATTACTTTAAATAATCATATGCAGATGGGCTTTTATAGATAGAATGAGCAACATCTATTGATTTATCAATTTTTAAAGGATAACAATGAGTGATGAACATGTTAAGAAAATTAAAGTGTGGCTATTAAAAGAATTATAAACATTTATAATTACTTAAGGAATTTTTTTAAAAATTATTTCGACCTAATTACAAGCACCCAAGAAAGAAGATTTTCCAGCAGGGGATCCTCAAGTTCACTACACTTCACGGGTGTCGAATGGCAGGTCAAAGTAGTCACTAGGTCACAAGCCTTTCCCATGCCTCACAAGCACCAGGGCCTTTCTAGGGAGTGGACTGGGTAAGAGCACCTAATAAAAACTTTTGGATAGATAGAACTTGTTAAAGGAACAAGTTCAAAATCATCTCCTCTACCAAAATTTGCCAAAAGTAACTTTATGAAGTCAAGTCTTCAAAGGTCAATCCTACTTCAAGAACGTTATTTTCTTCTCTAGCATTTTTTTTGCACATAAAGACAACTTCCGTTTAGCATGTATGTGGGACTGTCCCACTATGTTAAGTGACAGGCTTTTAGAGAACAGCGACAACTCAGAATCATGTTGATAACTGCTATCTCTGTTCAAGTTTATGTATTTTATAGCTTTAAAAATCGAGAAGTAAAATAACCTAATTCATTTATCATTTGCTCGTCTTTCAGCAAACCACAACTTTTCGTCATATCCTAATAGGTTGATTTGTGTTGGATACACATAGAATGACTGCATCTTAATTACAGACTCCCAGTTCTGAGCTGTATCAGACTTTGGTGATTTGTGATGATTCACAATAGGCATTTTTCAAAAGACCCAATTTCATTTTGTAGATTTACACTCATCCACAAATAAAATGTACAAAGCATTACAAGTCATTGATTTTATTCCTAACCAGATCTGTACTAACCACATCTTACTAAATTAGCCAGATCTGTACCGAAAGAACTGAGCTTAGCATCCAAGTCTCAGTCCATGCTCCGTGTTGATGTTCGACTGAATTCACAATAATCCAAAGAGGGCTTCAAAACCTGTGAGAAAAATGCGAAGAAAAAAAAAAGAGTTGTGTTTTAGAAAGGCTGAGGTCCGTCCGGTATGGGTTGATGGTTGAGCGTGACCAGGAGCTCACGGTTGATTCCTGGTCCAGGAACATGCCCAGGTTGCAGGCTCGATCCCCAGTTGGGGGCGTGCAGTAGGCAGGCGATCAATGATTCTCTCATCATTGATGTTTCTATCTCTCCCTCTCCCTTCCTCTCCGAAATCAATAAATACATATTTTTTAAAAAAGAAAAAAAGGCCTTTAGAAAAAACAAAAAAAGATTAAGAACATGACCTGAGTGAAACATATGCCTGGGACTTAGATGGCCCAGAAGCCCTCAAAGAAAAATAAATGACATGTCAGGCTTGGTGCAGAGACCAGGTTGTTTTCAAATTTTAAGCACTTTGCAGTTAATTACTCAGAGCCACTTAATTATATTATTCCTATTTGTTTCACCTGATTTTATCTTTCTTTAGTCTCTTCTGCTTAACTGTGCACAGGCAGAAGACTCTCCCTCCCCGACACAGGGAAAGGTGAACTATTTATCACTATTTCTACTCTTTAGCTCAGTGTTCAAGCAGCCCCTTCCTTACAGTATCCCCACCTTCACTCCTCTCATCTGAGACTTCATTAACATTTTAACTTATGAAGTCTGCAAGGGTCTTGTTTAAGTGTCTTCTGTGAATTAGCAACTCTGGCCCCCAAAATGAAGTGGGAGAACCCGAACTAACCCTCTAAGTCAGTGGTTCTCAACCTTCCTAATGCCTCGACCCTTTAATACAGTTCCTCATGTTGTGGTGACCTCCAACCATAAAATTATTTTCATTGCTACTTCGTAACTGTAATGTTGCTACTGTTATGAATCGTAATGTAAATATCTGATATGCAGGATGTATTTTGTTACAAATTGAACATAATTAAAGCATAGTGATTAATCACAAAAACAATATGTAATTATATGTGTTTTCCGATGGTCTTAGGAGACCCCTGTGAAAGGGTCGTTCGACCCCCAAAGGGGTCGCGACCCACAGGTTGAGAACCGCTGGTCTAAGTGATGTGCCTCATCTCTTAAATACAATGAGACCAAATGGGCAAGAAGGGACTATGTCGGCTATGGTGTAAGTCACAGGGGAAGGCAAATTCTAGAAGCTAAAGTTGTCCAATGAAGAATATCTGCCCTTCTGGACATTTCACCACTGTTTACCCACAAACAAACAAGAGAGAAATACACTCAGTGCCATCTACTCAGCCTTTATTTCCAGAAAGACAAAGATTAGAATAAAGATTGCCATCTCAATTAAATGAAACATCATCTGAACTCCAAAACTACCAAAGAAAAAGCCAGAAAAAGATAACTAGTTTGCCAAACTGTTCTTGACCCACTTTCAACCAAGTCAGTGTAATCGCTAGTCTGAAGTCAGCCTGTTTAGCAGCTGCTCAAGAAATTAGTTTAGTTCTTGGAATGACTTAAGTGGTCAATTCACAGCCCAGAGTGAACCCAAACCTTCAGTTTCATTTGTAAAACACTTCATATATACCAGGCGCTGTGCTAAATGGCACCTCATCACATTTAACCTACTGAACAACTCTGAGTAGCATTACTGTCCATCCTCAGAGAGGGCAAGGTCACTGGGCGGGTAATGAGAGAAGCTGAACTCAGGCCTGTCCAATGTCAAAGCCCTTACGCTCCTTTTAAGCTGTATCACTAATCAGGGCTGAAAACTGTGTTGGGCAATAGAGGCCACTATGCAGCAGACTGAACTCTGACATGGGAAGACCACCCACTCTATGTGGAATAGTCCACTGCTACCGCTTGTTAGTCTTTCCTTCTTCTACTTTATCCTAGCAGTTATCTCCAAAAGTACTCATTCAGGAAGGCGTTGGTGGTATAGTGGTGAGCATAGCTGCCTTCCAAAAGTACTCATTCATTGAACAAAGACTGATTGTGCTTCTACTGTATTCTAGGCACTGAAAACACAGCCGTGAACTTTCAAGACACACAACCATCTCTACCCTCACAGAGCTGACATTTACTTCTTACTCCTATTTGTCTCCGTATCAAAATCTCCATATAATACATCTGCTTACTATACATTTCCAGCACCTAGAACAGCTTCTGGTACGTGGGTTCAACAGACAGCAATTCCATCCATGACATCCTCAGCAATGGTGTAGAAAACTGGTCAAACAATTCACCAAACGGGTTTGATTGTCATGCAGAGTTCTTTATAGTGCATTGTCTTAGTGCTATACTATAAAGTTCTATCAAATTTTAAATAAAATCTTTAAGACATTCCATATTTTTAAAATGTAGAAACAAACCAAGTTTACTCATCTTTAAGAGTTAATTTTTCTGGTAAAAAAAAAAAAACACACCCCAGTAAGATAGCCAGAATACTATATATAAGGCAGTAAATGCAGATGAGAAAAAAAAAGAATTTTAAAATAGATATTTATTTGCAAAATAAAAATAAAATAAAATAAACCTAATCTGAATCAGGTTCCTTCTTCTTTCTTCTTGACCCTTTGGAGGAAGTCCCAGGCTCTGTCCTGTCTCTGCCGTGCCCAGTCTGCTGTGTCAGCCACTCCTTCTCCAGCTGTTTCAGCATGTCTGCAGTGAGGAGTCCTTGCTGCACCAACCTGGAAGCAAGGGATTTCTCTTCCGCACTGGGGCTGGGTGGCTCAGCAGCTTTATACCCTAAAGTTTTGGTACCGCGCATCCTTCTTGCTTGGCTCTTCAATGTTCCTGGCAAACGAGACCGGCTGTCTGCTGACACATTCTCCAAATTCAACAGCCTTTGTGCCTCTGAAATTTTAATGAGTTTGGTGATGTTGTGTACACCCTCTTGGATAATGCCATCTAGCTCTTTCTGCAGGTCTCGAACAAGGCTGGCATCTGGAAACATATCTATAAACCGATAGCTGGGAAAAAGACATTACATTATAGCAACAGCTCTTATCACAGTCGCTGAACTACTACAATAATATCAATGACGAAACTACATCTTGACACTGATTAATTCCAAATGTTGTTTATGCAAAATTTGTTTTGTCTTTGCTCAACTTTTACTTCTGCCCCAACACATTTGAGGAGTACATCATTATGAAGATGGGTCACCACTCCCTCCGACCTGATTCCAATATGGCCGCTCGTGGGACATGCCCCCCTTTGAGCCAAAACAGCAGGCCCTCCAATATGTCACTTTGTATAACACTATCTCATCATAACACTGATGAGATGCCATAGGAACTTAACTCTGGTTTATATCGATTAGCCTCTGGTAAAATTGGTTTTGTTATACATTCTTTTGCTTAAAGTCGCAGGACCATTAATTGAGGATTTTTTTTTTTTTAATATATTTTATTGCTTTTTTACAGAGAAGAAGGGAGAAGGATAGAGAGTTAGAAACATCAATGAGGGAGAAACATCGATCAGCTGCCTCCTGCACACCTCCCACTGGGGATGTGCCCGCAACCAAGGTACATGCCCTTGACCGGAATCAAACCTGGGACCCTTCAGTCCGCAGGCCAACGCTCTATCCACTGAGCCAAACCAGTTAGGGCTAATTGAGGATTTTAATTAACCTCTCAAATGTTAACATATAAATGAATCACCTGGGGAATATAGTTAAAGTGCAGAATTTGATTCAGTCTGATATTCTCTATTTCTAATTGCTTCCACCCATTGAGTAGCAAGGATCTAGCGGACCTTCTCACCCACCCATCTTAACTAGAATCCTAAGAATGCTTTAAGTCATTTTTGGGATGGGGATTAAACAGGCTCAATTGCCTTTACGGACAATAAACATAATATAGAGCACCCTGCAAATATATGCCTAATATGAAAGAGCAAAAGACCCTTCATAAAACCTTTGATTTGCCCTATTACTTTAAAAAATGAGAGCACATAAAGGAAATATTTGATACCTTAGCCACAGGTAAAGATCCAAGACATCATGGACAGCTTCAAGATCCATGAGGTCTTTAATATTATTAGGTGGATGTAATGGCCATTTAATATATCGGCGTAACCATGCAAAGGTCAATGGCTCATTCCTGCTATACTGCCTGGCAAACTGAGAGAAGCAGAAGAAAAGGAATCAGACTCAAGCCTGTGATTAGAAAAAAAAGGAAGCACAAGAAATGTTAACTGTGATTGTGTTTCAATAGGCAGGATGTTTTCTTTCCTTCTTTATACTTCTCTGTATTTTAAAGAACATTTAATATTTTATAAAGGTAACCTTTTAAAAGGTGGGGGAATGACATCCTTCTTTTTACAAAATCAATCCTCAGAGGCCATCAATGGCTCTTTTGAAGTTCAGCAATAATGGAGATCAAGGAAAAATCTCTAGATTTCACATTCTCATCATTAAACAGAACACATAAGCAACTGTTAAACTGTCCTTTCTCCTTAGTAAATGCTTCTGCTTCATTAGAATAATTTGAAGAATGGTGTAAGTGGGTTCAGACATGGGCTCAAACTCCATCTACGGCAGCATTTAAGACCTCTGTTCCATAAACATCAACCTACGCTAGCTAACTCTCTAACAAATGCCAGCTCTAAGAAACATATTTCCTAGGTAAATACCTGGACAGGGAAGACCTCTAAGACATAATAAGGGAAAAAGAAAACAGTGAGTTGCAGAAAAATTCATTATAGCATTTATGGGAAAACACCCCCACAACAAAACTAGAATTCCTACATGTACACCTATGTAGGCAAATGCAACTGGAAAGGTCTGCAAGATTACATACAAACTGATAATAGTTATGCCATAGAACTAAGATTGGAGGAGGTAGCCCAATTTATCCTATCGTAATGTTTTAATTTTGTGCAAAGAGAAAGTATTTCTGTATTATTTATGCAATTTAAAAATAATTTTGAATTTAGAAATAGAGTTGATAAAAACAGAGCTAATATGCAGAATGCTAAGGTCTATAAAGAAATGGCAGCGGAACTACAACCATGAGTCAGGAAGAGATTCAGACAGGAGACCTTTGGGTTTATTGTGCTGGCAAGGGAGAGCAAGGGCCCAGAGAGGTGAGGACACAGCATCCACTGCCCTTCCCCGGCCCTCTGTTTTGGTGACTTCTGTGCTCCTCAGAATTGTATCCCTACCCACATGAGTGAAAATAAAAGGAACCAGAACTCTGGCACCAAGCTCATGCAAGACAACATTCCCTGGCTCAGTGTCTTATGGTTAAGAAAACTGAATACCATTGCCACTACTAAACCCCTGGCCCCTCCCTTCCAAAAATATTACCCATCACCAATAAGGAAAAAGTGTATCATCAGGTAAAGACCCCCTTCCCTTGAAAAAAATTGTATTTAATTATTTTTTTTCCTAATATATTTTATTGATTTTTTACAGAGAAAAAGGGAGAGGGACAGAGAGTTAGAAACATCGATGAGAAACATCGATCAGCTGCCTCCTGCACTCTCCCCACTGGGGATGTGCCTGCAACCAAGGTACATGCCCTTGACCGGAATTGAATCTGGGACCCTTGAGTCCGCAGGCCGACGCTCTATCCGCTGAGCCAAACTGGTTAGGGCTGTATTTAATTATCTTCGTTTTAGCTTCTTCACAAAGGCTACCACATAAGTCCAAATACAAAGCAAAAAATTATTTGTAAGAAAAAGAGAGTCACTTTATATTTAAGTTCTTACATATTATCTCATATTAAAGGACAGTATCCAACTGTTTTGAGTAACAAAGTACTGTTTGGGGAAAATACCTCAACCAAAAACAACTCAAAATATCCTAAAGATGCAGGCTTACCTGTAAGAGTGAAGAGCAGACGAAAGGCTGCCTCTTGTTGATAGGGGCTGTGCAGAACACATACCTTACTCGCAGGTTTAATGGAATATGCTGGATCAACTCCGCAGAAAACTTAAAATCATCCAGATTGCAGACAAAATACTGCCCATCAACTTGTGAAAAGTCTACAAAAATATCCTAGGGGGCAAAAAGACATATTAAATTACTGGACTGCCTAACTGGGCATGAATAAAGTACTCACATCTACAAACAACAACCTCTTTAACCCATAACAGACTTCTAGAAAGGCCTGCTTTATTCATTGCCCCCTCAAGCTAATAATTCCTCCATAACCTTCCCAATCTAAAATACTCAGACAAAAGTCCCAAACGATTTTAAAAGTTTTCACTTTCAACATAAACTTCATATATAGCAACTTCACAAAAACAGCCTATCCATTCATGCCCATGAAGTTAACTAGTAATTATCTGACATATCAAAATTTTTGTTTTTTATTTTCTTTTTGAGCATTTTTATGAGTTTATTTGAGCCAAAACTGATGACAGTTGCAGGGAAGCAACGTTTCAAATGCTCCAATTTTTTATTTTTCAACTATAGTAGATGTACAATATTATATTAGTGTACAACCCAGGGATTAGACATTTAGTAACTTATGAAGTGATCACCCTGATAAACCTAGTACCCATCTGACACCATACATGGTTATTAAAAATTATTGATTAAATTCCCCTTGCTGTACTATATATCCCCATGACCATAATTACCAATTTGTGCTTCTTTTTCTTAAATATATTTTATTAATTTTTAACAATAAAATCAATACCCTCCCTTTCAGAGAGGAAGGGACAGGGATAGAGAGTTAGAAACATCGATGAGAGAGAAACATCGATCAGCTGCCTCCTGTGCACCCCCTACTGGGGATGCACCCGCAACCAAGGTACATGCCCTTGACCAGAATCGAACCTGGGACCCTTCATTCCTCAGGCTGATGCTCTACCCACTGAGCCAAACCGGTTAGGGCCAATTTGTACTTCTTAATCCCTTCATCTTTTTCACCAATTCCCCCAACCCCACTCCCATCAGGCAACTGTCAAAATATTCTCTATATCTATGAGTCTGTTTCTGTTCTTCTTGTTCATTTATTTTCTTTTTAGATTCCACATATAAGTGAAGTCTATGGCATTTGCCTTTCTCTTTCTGACTTATTTCACTCAGCAAAATACCCTCTAGGCCCATCCATGTTGTTGCAGATGGCAAGATTTCATTCCATATGGCTGCATCATATTTCATTGTGCACATGCACCACTTCTTCATCCACTCATCTCTCGATGGACACATAGAATCAAAGGACAGATAAAAAGAGCTTCCCAGACAAGAAAAAGCTAAAGGGGTTCATTATCACTAGACCAGTATTACAAGAAATGTTAGAGTCAAGAAGAAGAAGAAAGAAAAAGAAAGAAGAGGGAGAAGAGAAAAAGGGGAAAAAAGGAAATATCAAAAGCATAAATACAAATGGATTAAATGCTCCAATCAAAAGGTGCATGGTAGCTGAATGGATAACAAAAGACCCTCACGTAGTATGCTGCCTACAAGAGACTCACTTCAGAGAGAAAGACACATATACTCAGAGCAAAGAGATGGGAAAAGGCATTTCACAAAAATGGAAACAAACAAAAAGCTGGGGAAGCAATACTTATACCAGACAAAATTGACTTTAAAACAAAAGTTATAACAAGAGACACAAAAAGACCCAGCAATGCCACTTTAGGGTACTGTATTTATCTGAAGAAACCTAAAACACTAAATCAAAAAAGACATGTGCAGCCATGTGCAAACATATTCATTGCAGTACTGTTTACAATAGCCAACATATCAATACTTTTGGAAAGGGATTTAAAGTGATTTCCTACTTACAATGAGATTGGACAGTGTTGTATCAGGCAGATGGTAGGCAAACATTTCAATCTGTTCAGCAGTTGGATGAAGACCAGCTGCCTTTAGTAAAAGAAAAAAACAATCATAAGCTTATTTTTAAAAAATATATATTTATTCATTTCAGAGAGAAAGGGAGAGGGAGAGATAGAGAGAAACATCAATGATGAGAGAGAATCATTGATTGGCTGCCTCCTGCACGCCCCCTACTGGGGATCGAGCCTGCAACTCCGGGCATGTGCCCTTGACCGGAATCGAACCTGGAACCTTTTGGTCCACAGGCCGACACTCTATCCACTGAGCCAAACCAGCTAGGGCAAGCTTATTTTTTTTTAAAGGAGAAGTTTTCCTAAGTTAATTCAAAATAAAGTGTTGAGTAAAGAATTTGAGTAAAATAGAGAAAAGCATCATCATTTTCCCATTTATTACCAATTTAAAAAGCTAATGAGATGATTTAATAAAACTAAACCAATTATACCCAGTGAGTAGTCAATCTTTTATTCACATTTTAGTTATACAGTGTCTGACACATAAATACATGAAAAATGTCTAAACTGGAGGTCAGGTATCTCTTTAACTGTATACTGCAGTGTTACGGAAAGCCTTCAGGTAAGTATAAGCTGGGGGGGCGGGGGGGAGGGAATGGGAAGGAGGATAGGAGGGTGATGTGAATCACGGTCGGAGGAAGAGAATGAGCACAAGAAATGAGGTTCTGTGCACAGGAGGGAAATGGTGTGTCGTTAAACTGCACTCTCAACAAAAGCTACAGAAATTATTTCAACCTCAGCTTCCCTCTAAAAATTTTTCCTGTGTTATCTCACTTACATTCCCCTTTACCCAGGGCCACTGAAAAATGGAAAGAGCCACATTTAGAAATATTTCCAGGCAACTTTAAATTGTAACAGTTAGGCCCAGCTGGTGTGCCTCAGTTGGTTGAGCATCAACCAGGAGGTCACAGTTGATTATGGTCAGGGAACACGCCTGGGTTTCGGGGTCCATCCCCAGTAGGGGGCGCAAGGGAGGCATCCAATTGATGTCTCTCTCATCACTGATGTTTCTATCTCTCTCCCGCTCCCTTCCTCTCTCTGAAATCAATGAGAACATATTTGAAAAAACGGTAACAGCTAGTCTGTTGAAACTATGTACACTTCTGTCTCATTAACTGCATGTCCTTACTGGCTCACAACTGTGCTGCTTAGTGCTGTTTCTGCCCCACACTCAAGGGTTTCTTCTACATTCAAGCTCCTGACAAGTTCTCAGCCTGCTTACACAGCTGAGTGCCCACCTGAAGCAACTGTGCCCCTACCGCCACCTTCTGCTTGGCTATAGGAAGAACGAGAGGGAATTAGGTTCACTGAACTTTTCAATCTGGATCTTTCACCTGCACACCATTCTCAACCAGGAGTCTCTATTCTTCTCCAAAGCAATAAAGTAGGGCTTGCTTGCTTTCTTTTAATATGTTTTTATTGATTTCAGAGAGGAAGGGAGAGGGAAAAAGAGAGATAGGAACATCAATGATGAGAGAGAATCATTGACTGGCTGCCTCCTGCACGCCCCCCACTAGGGATTGAGCCTGCAACCCAGGCATGTGCCCTTGACCCAGGACCCTTCAGTCCACAGGCTGATGCTCCATCCACTGAGCCAAACCAGCTAGGGCAAGTAGGGCTTTCTTGACATAATTTTCATGGTATAAAATTTCTCTTTTGTTACTGCGTGTCTGAGGCAAGAGTCTGGAGGGAAGGTGAAGGACGGCATGCCTGTCCTCCAAAGAGGAGTAATTAACCTTACCTTTATAGGATCGACAGGCTTATTCAAAATCTCCTTTAATAAACGGAGGTCTTCTCGATTCATTGTTGTAACCTCTCCTTCTTTATATTTCGAACTGAATCTACCAGCTCTGCCAGCAATCTGCAAGGCTTGAGAAGTGGTGATTGGTTCTAGTTCCTTCTCTCCCTTTTCATTGATACTGGGCTTTATAAGGGAATAAAAAATAATTCTTCTTATGCTCCTGAAATAGAAATAAAAGTGATCTCACAGACGAAAAACTCTCCATGACTGGGTCACTGCAGAAACGCTCACTCAATTCTAGGTTAGACTACTTGCAACCTTGCCCGCTGTTTTCAAAACAAGAAAAAGAGGTTTGTTGGTAATTCTTTCTTCCCTTTAAATAGTATTTTTCAACAACTGTGTAAACTTACTAGAATTTATCAACTTGTACTTTTACAATGGGTGAACTGTATAGTATGTAAATTATACCTCAATAAGGCTAAAGATTAACTTTTTTTTACAAATAAACCACAGTGTTCTCATAGTGTTGCCTTTTTTTAAAAAAATATATTTTTATACTTCAGAGAGGAAGGCATAGAGAGATAGAAACATCAATGATGAGAGAGAATCATTGATTGGCTGCCTCCTGCATGCCTACTGGGGATGGAGCCCGCAACCCAGACATGTGCCCTTGACCGGAATCGAACCCGGGACCCTTTAGTCCACAGGCCAACGTTCTATCCACTGAGCCAAACCAGCTAGGGCTCAAGCTGCTTTTAAAAGTTGGATATTAACAGTCTGAATAGTTTTTTTGATTCATTCCCCAGAGAGGAATATTTAGGCTTAGTACTGTTATCCTTACAGATAATAGCTAGCCCTACAAGCACAGTAGGCACTCACACACCCTGTCAACTGAGAAACTAAAAGTGAAGTAAGGCAATATAACAGGATAGCAGTGGTAGGGAGCAGCACTCCGAGTCCGAGCTATGTGATACTTTCTTTTTACTCCCTTACCAGGTATAAGCAAGGCAAATCTCAGATCTATATGGTAATGCCCATTCTCCAAAGTGGTCATTCTAATGCCAATTAGAAAATTGTTAATTGCCATCTAACCCACTGAATATCCATGATTGTTAAAAAAAAAAAAAAAATCACTTACAAATTAAGTCCCATGCCAATTGCATCTGTAGCAACCAGGATTTTGCATGGATCATCAGGATCGTTAAACTTTTTTGCTTGAGCAAGTTTGGTCCCTAAAGTAAGAAGTTTATGTTAAATCAGTGTTCTCAATCTTTTACTGTATCACACTAAGTGTATCTTAAAAACCCTCACCCCCTACTTTCTATTCTTATGGATAAAATTCTTACTGTTTCAAGGTTATTTCTTTATATCCTCAAAGAGCTACTTTATTTCCACTCTTTTAAATATCCCCACATACAGCAACACAATCCCACACCACACTAGCCTTCTCACTTCTGAAGACATGTAGTAACAGATTTCAGGACTACAATTTGAGGAGTATTACTCAAGTTCATGGGTAATGACATTTCTGTAAAAAACTCTTTAATTCAAAATTTAAAATAACAGCAAATAATAAGAGCTAGAAATAATTAAAATATTTCTATCCCCACCAACATAAACTAGAGAAATACTTATTTTATATGACCTATAACAAATAACTAATATATCAAGCATCTTAATTCAATATCTTTTACTGTGTTTTCTATACATATTCAACATAAAGCAAAAATAAGATTTACTATTCTCTCATGATGAAAGCCAGTAATTACCAGGTGGGAGACTGCCATATATAACAGCTGATTCCAATCCCCGAATTTCAATCTGTCGACTCACAGAATAAATATCATTCTTGCTAAAACAGACAATGCAGTCCCCAGGCCGAAGGTTGTCTAAAGATTCTAATGCATGATCCAGCACAGAAATGGGTGTAAGCCTTGTATAGTTTCGAACCTTTAATAAAGATATGATATTGTAAAATAACACACCAAACTCAATTTCATGTGACTAGCAATTAAGTGAAAAACTTGCTAAAAGCTAAAAACAAGGTCCATTGTTTTTCAAAGGGAAATACAGAAAAGCATTTATTTTAATATTCATTGCTATTTCTAAATTAACTAAATGCTAAACAGTGTTTCATAAATTTTTCAAAGCACTTTCATATACATTTGATTTTCTTTTTCCCCTCATTGATTTTAGAGAGAAACATCGATGTGAGAGAGACACAACTGGCTGCCTCCCGCACATGCTTTGATCGGCGCCAGGATCGAGCCTGCAATCAAGGTGTGTGCCCTTGATAGGAATTAAACCCACAACACCTCAGTCCAAGGGAGAACACTAACCATTCGGCAACTGGCTAGGGCTACATTTGATTCTCATGGCAACTTTATAAGTTCAGAAGGGTTATTCACTGTTATTTTCTTTTATGAAAAAGTGCGAGAGAGCCCTATAAAAGATCAGGTCTGAAGAGGATTTTCCCAGTTCTAGCCTTCTACAATTTGCCTAAGAATACAAAACTAGTAACAGCAAAGCCAAGACTAGAACCCAGAATTTCTTCTACTACATTTCTCTCCCTGAAAGCTGAACACAAAAGTAAAGTAATGGACCAATTTTTAAATATTTCTTCATCTTATTATAAAACTCTGGTAAAGAAAACAAAAAGTAGGATTAAAAGAAAACCAATTACTTCTTACTCTAAGAATTTGAAAAGGGATACAAACTATTTCTAGCAATTAGATGTATATCAAAGGCCCCAATTACATGACATCCGAGACTGTAAAAACCACAAGCTTTTGCCCTGGCCAGTGTGGCTCAGTTGGTTGGAGCAATGTCCCCGTACACCGAAAGGTGGCAGGTTTGATTCCGCCAGGGCATATACCCAGGTTGCAGGTTCAACCCCTGGTCAGGTGGAGGCAACCGACAGATGTTTTACTCTCACATGGATGTTTCTTTCTCTCCCCTCCCCCACCATTCCTCGCTCTAAAATCAATCAAGAAAAATAAAAAGCACAAACTTTTGCTGAACCTCAAACTTCCAATATTCCTGACTTATTTAATTCTAAAGAGATCTGCTGAAACTCCAAAAGTTTTTATCAAGAGAATATGAAGCATCTCCTGTCCTTTTAGAAGACATAGGGTAAGATGGCCACTCTGTCAGAACTCCAAATATGAGGTTAAATCAATTATGTATTACCTAGACAACTACAAGGAAATAAAGCTTTCTTTCTAGTTAAGTTCTGATTTACCACTACCTGGGGCCTATGAAGCCACTGCCTGGGTGCTCTGGGCTATTTGCTATGCCATCTTGAGAACAAAGCATATATTTGAGTACCTCCACTTCCTCCCCAGTCGTGTACAAAAGCTCAGTAACCAAGTCAATAGCAGCAGCTTCTCCACATAAATGAACCTCTTCAGCACACAGTCCTGTTAAATGCAAAATCACAAGTTAAAAAAATTTTAAAGACATAAAAGTAAGTATGCAACACTTTACACAGCAAACAATATATGTATTTTTAATCCTCACCCGAGAACATTTTTTAAATTGATTTTGAGAGAGAGAAACATTGATGTAGAGAAAAATCAATCTGTTGCCTCCCCTTCGCTCACTGACTGGAGAGGGAACCCCCAACCTAGATATGTGCCCTGACCAGGAATCAAACCCATAACCTTTTGGTGTATGGGACGACACTCCAACCAACCGAGCCACCAGGCCAGGGCTAGCAAAAATATTTTAAGTTTGTTTCTATTGCTTTACAACATTACAAAATGTTTTCATAAATATTATCTCTTTGATTCAAACCTCAAAACAATAATATACTGGGCAAAGACTAACTACATTTTTATAAACATCGGGGCTTTTAAATTGCTTTGGCCAAGGTGTTGAGAGGGTGATGTCAGCCAGGACTAGTACCTGGCATTTTGTGATTAGTACTGAACATTAGCCTCCACAGAATCAGTGAGGTGCCTCAGAGGCTAGGGCTGGAGGGCAGAATGAACTCCCATCTCCTTACCCCTTAGCAGATCCGCTTTCATCCATTTTACATTAAGGTTTCAATGAATACTCTTTATCTGGAAAAGAGTTCAGTTGTTTGTTTTTAAATCTGAGAACACCTGTCCTACAATATGCTGATCAAAAATTCACTCCAGCTCTGGCCAAATAGCTCAGTTTAGTTAGAGCATCGTTCCAATACACCAATGTTGTAGGTTCGATCTCTGGTTAGGGCACCTACAAAGAATCAACCAATGAGTACATAAATAAGTTGGACAACAAATTAAAGTTTCTCTTTCTATCTCCCTGCCCCCATCAATAATTTTTTTAAATTTTAATTCACTCCAATTATCAAGCATTAGAAATATTCATTCATGTCCATGGACCTCAATAACTCCACTTCCAGGAGCCTATCCTAAAGAAATAATAAAATATGTGAATAAAAAGCTATGGCCACAAGGATTTTTACTGCAACACTATTAATAACATAATAATGTTAGTCCAAAAAAATGTCGGAAACAAGAGAACTGAAAAAAGCAAGATACAAAATTAGATAGTCACAAAACTGGCATGAAACACACCAAAGTTTAATAATGGTTGTACACGTGGTGAGATTTGAATATTTTAACTTCAATTAAGTGGTTATGCTAATTTCATAATAGGAAAAATAGACTTCCCATTATTCAAATAATGTTTAGAAAATAAAACTGAACATTTAGCTGACTTTTTTGTTTGATTTGTTTCAAAAGAAAGACTCTAGCTGGCTCTACTTGGTAACGTCCAGCAGATAATGCATCTCAGTGCAGATGTCACAAAGCACAGGTTTCAAGCATTAAGACCACCAACCTGGGGGGAGAACCAAGATGGCGGCATAGGTTAACGCCGGAGTTTGCTGCTTTGAACAACTACTTCAAAAGTGAAACCAAAAAACGGAAGGGACATCACCCAGAACCACAGGAACGCCGGCTGAGTGGAAGTCCTACAACTAGGAGGAAAGAGAAACGCATACGGACACTCAGAGGAGGCGCAGTGCTGAAGTCAAATTCTGAGGTGCGGAGTGCGCAGAGCGGGCTGGCGGCGGAGGGCGTGGTTGGCGTTTTCAATCAATCGGGAGGGAGTCGCAGACTCTGAGCTCCAGATCCGGGCGAGTCTTTAGGGACCCAGACTCAAACGGGAGAAGCGGGACTGTCTGGCTTCGGTCAGAGCGAGTGCAGCTTTCTCTCTGAGCTTTGCAGCGGGTGCTGGGACTCAGAGAGGCAGAGCCCCTGGGGACAGGACTGAGAGCCGCCATAACTGCTCTCTCCAGCCCACCCTGTTGATCCTGTACGACCCGCCCCGCCCAAGCCCTGCACACAGGCATTTGCCGGATAGCCTCAGGCAAAGGCTAGATTAGCACCTCCCTAGAGGACAGAAGTTCTCTCACTGCTGACACAGCTGATTCTCATAGCCATTTGGCCTGGAGGTCAAACCCTCCCTGGAATTAGCTACAACACTCAAGATTTAACTATAAGACTGCGAACAAAGACCACTAGGGGGTGCACCAAGGAAGCATAACAAAATGCGGAGACAAAGAAACAGGACAAAATTGTCAATGGAAGATATAGAGTTCAGAACCACACTTTTAAGGTCTCTCAAGAACTGTTTAGAAGCTGCCGATAAACTTAATGAGATCTACAAGAAAACTAATAAGACCCTCGATCTTATATTGGGGAACCAACTAGAAATTAAGCATACACGGACTGAAATAACGAATATTATACAGACTCCCGACAGCAGACCAGAGGAGCGCAAGAATCAAGTCAATGATTTGAAATGCGAGGAAGCAAAAAACACCCAACCGGAAAAGCAAAATGAAAAAAGAATCCAAAAATGCGAGGATAGTGTAAGGAGCCTCTGGGACAGCTTCAAGCGTACCAACATCAGAATTATAGGGGTGTCAGAAGATGAGAGAGAGCAAGATATTGAAAACCTATTTGAAGAAATAATGACAGAAAACTTCCCACACCTGGTGAAAGAAATGGACTTACAGGTCCAAGAAGCGCGGAGAACCCCAAACAAAAGGAACCCAAAGAGGACCACACCAAGACACATCATAATTAAAATGCCAAGAGCAAAAGATAAAGAGAGAATCTTAAAAACAGCAAGAGAAAGAAACTCAGTTACCTACAAGGGACTACCCATACGACTGTCAGCTGATTTCTCAACAGAAACTTTGCAGGCCAGAAGGGAGTGGCAAGAAATATTCAAAGTGATGAATACCAAGAACCTACAACCAAGATTACTTTATCCAGCAAAGCTATCATTCAGAATTGAAGGTCAGATAAAGAGCTTCACAGATAAGGAAAAGCTAAAGGAGTTCATCACCACCAAACCAGGATTATATGAAATGCTGAAAGGTATCCTTTAAGAAGAGGAAGAGGAAGAGGAAGAAAAAGGTAAAGATACAAATTATGAACAACAAATATGCATCTATCAACAAGTGAATCTAAGAATCAAGTGAATAAATAATCTGATGAGCAGAATGAACTGTTGATTATAATAGAATCAGGGACATAGAAAGGGAATAGACTGACTATTCCTGGGGGGGAAAGGGGTGTGGGAGATGCGGGAAGAGACTGGACAAAAATCATGCACCTATGGATGAGGACAGTGGGTGGGGAGTGAGGGCAGAGGGTGGGGCGGGAACTGGGAGGAGGGGAGTTATGGGGGGAAAAAAAAGGAACAAATGTAATAATCTGAACAATAAAGATTTAATCAAAAGAAAAAAAAAAGAAAAAAAAAGAAAAGAAAAAAAAAGACCACCAACCTAGAAGTGCTCTGGTCCAGGCCCATCCTCTGGCTGGGTCTTTAATCATTTGAATTTCGTCAATCACAGCCACTTCATCTTAAAATAAAAAGTTATCATGAGCAATATAAGTACTTAAATAGTATTGCAAACAAATTACAACACTAACATTTCAAGCTTTCATCACCACCAGTCATCATCCCCACTGATCACTCAGTGCTTCTTTCCTGGCAGTCTTGTTCTCAGGGCTTTACAATTATAACTCATTTAATCCTCACAACAAATATAAAAGGAAAGTCATCATCTTCTTCATTTTACAGAAGAATAAACTGAGGCCCAGAGAAGTTAAGTCATGGCCCAAGGATACAGTATGTACAGGTAAGTGTAAGATCAAAAAAACATGAAATTCCAACCCAGGCCATCCAGCTCCAAAGTCCAGACTGTTAACCACTCTACTGCACTGCCTCGCACATTAAGCAGGTTCATTTGTCCTATTTCTGCAATCTCAGGGGCAGCCTGGAGAATCTGCCTAATGAGAACTAACACACCTGCACTGCAGTAAAAGAAAAAAGTATCTATGCTCCCAGGAACCAGGAGCAGATAGCCCACAGTAAATGAAGCCTCTCTGCCACAGGAGCCCAGACAGGCATGAGGAGCAGAAAGCGGAGTGGAAAGTGCAATCCCCTGAGTCCCAGCAATGCTCATTCTTAGGGAACTTAAGCTCATCACTACGGCAAAAATTAGTGCCGAATTTTATTTTAATGCTTCCAACCATATTACTTTATTCTTTTAAAATCATTTAATTATATTTTAATTTTCTTCCTAAAATACCAAGGAGTTAAGAACACATTAAAAATTTTAAAAATGTAATATGTCTGCAAAGACTTTTAAGAAACAAAAGAAAGTTATTTTTACACTGAAAAACCATCAGATTAAAATTTACTTATTGCATCTGGGCATATACAAACAAGATTAGAAAAAAGGGAATTTTCATTTATAAATGTCTATGCTATCTGAATTTTTACAACATACAACTGTTAAAATGAACTAATTTTTTAAAAAACTATCAATTTACACAGAAAGTTAAGATTAAAATTAAAAAAGCAAGCTACTAAATAGTACATAATTTGCTCTAACATGTAGTATATAATCCCTATTTTTATTTTATATACATATCCACAATGCACAGATAAATATATGGATACACAATAAAAACACAGAAAAAGAATCTGAAAAATATATACCACAGGGTTAACACTTGTTGATTCTGAATGTGTGGAATTGGGAGAGCATGTACTTTTTTCTTCTCTGCATTTATTTTTATGTTTTCCATGTGAAGATATAATTGGTTATGTAATAAAAAAAAAAGTTGATTTTCATAAAAAAATATTTTCAAAGTGACTTAACTAGTTTACTGCAGTGCTATTAATAGTGAAAGACTGCCGAAACCGGTTTGGCTCAGTGGATAGAGCGTCGGCCTGCGGACTCAAGGGTCCCGGGTTCGATTCCGGTCAAGGGCATGTACCTGGGTTGCGGGCACATCCCCAGTGGGAGATGTGCAGGAGGCAGCTGATCGATGTTTCTCTCTCATCGATGTTTCTAACTCTCTATCTCTCTCCCTTCCTCTCTGTAAAAAATCAATAAAATATATTAAAAAAAAAATAGTGAAAGACTTTAAACCATTTAAATATTCTTTAATGGAAAAATGTATAATTTTAGTCATAAAATGAAATGCTATGTAACAGTTTAAATGAATAAATTTGATATATTATTTATGACATATATGATTTTGTGTATATATATATATATATATATATATGCAAAACAAGCCTAGATCTAAAAACATGTATAGATAAAAAGCAAGTGTGTAACAATAATACAATATAATCATGTAAATGTTTTAAAACACACAATTTATGGTACTGACAGCAGAAAAGATATACACCAAATACTTGATAGCAGTTAGATCAAGCAGGGAGAGGAGGTTTTGGTCAAGATGGTGGCATAGTAAATGCAGTCCTCAGAATCTCCCACAACCACATCAACATTACAATTAAACTACAAAGCAACCATCATTCAGAATCACCTGAAATCTAGCTGAATAGAAGTCCTATGACTAAGGATATAAAGAAGCCACTATGAGCAAGATAACAGGGACAGAGACACAGAACATGCTGGTCCCAAACCACTTGTGGTGGATAAAAAATCAGGAGTAAGATCTCAGCTGTGGAGGTCCCCCTGAGGATAAGGGGTCCCAGCCCCACACCAGGACCCCCAGCCCAGGGTTCCAATGCCAAGAAGATAAGTACCCATAACTTCTGGCTGTAAAAACCACAAGGAATTGTGGCTGGTCTGGAGTCCCAGGCAGTTCCTCTTAAAGGGCCAGTGCATAGACTTACTAGGACTCACTCTCTCTGAGCTCCAGCACTGGGGCAGCAGCTCGAGAGGCACCAGGGACATACAGAGAGGAACTGAGTTGTCTGGCATTGGGATGAGAGCTGGAGAGGCATCTTTTCCCCCAAACAGAAGTGCTAGAAGAGGCCACTGTTCCTTTTCTGAGCCCTCCCCCGAAATAGCCAGCAGATGGGCGTCATATCTGAGTCAACCTGGCTAACCCTGTTAGCCCTGCCCTGGTGATTTCCTAAGACTCCACCCCAACCAACTTTCAGGCCCACCCAAACCCTTTCCAGTGGCTTTCACTACAAATGGCCTCTCTCACCTCATGTTTTGGACTTTCCTAAAATCTCTTAAACAAGCAGCATCTGGCATCTGCATACACTATACCTCCTGCTAAGTGACCCCAGACCCAGCACTAGTAGCAGCCAGCCTTGGTTCGAAGCTTGGCCTCTCTTGGGCACCACCAAGCCCAGCACAAATAGCAGCCATCTGGAGATCACTTTGTAGCTCGTGCCAGGTGGCCCCAGGCAGGGCACAGGCAGTAGCTGACCTTACACTGCCTGGAAGAACCCAGAGCCAGCGCTCCTAGTGGACAGCTTCAGATCACACCAGATTACAACCCTACCACCTCCACCAGTGACACACTCAAAGGGTGGACTCAGCAAGCACCAAAGCTCACGGAACCAAGTTCCGCTCCATAGGGTTGGTTTCGGCACAGCAGCTACTTCGCTGTAGCTGATTGGCTTGGAGGTCAATCCCTCCCAGTGATGCCAACAGCAATCAAAGATAAACTATAAAATGACAGTGCGCACAGCCCACACAGGGCACACCAAGAGTGCCCAGCTCAGGTGAACAGGGAGGCTGCGTCCCTCAGCCCTACAGGACACCTACCACACAAGGCCACTCTCCCATGTCCAGGAGATGTAACAGCTTTAGCTAATACATAGAAACACAGGGAAGCAGCCAAAATGCACAAAGAAACAGGTCCCAAATGAAAGAACAGGAGAAATCTCCAGAAAAAGAAATAAATGAAATGGAGGCACGCCAACTACCAGATACAGAATTCAAAACAATGGTTATAAGTATGCTCAAAGAACTTAGTGAGAACTTCAATAGTATGAAAAAGAACATAGAACCATAAAAAATAACCAGTCATAAATGAAGGTTACACTAACTGAAATGAATAAATTAGAGTGAATCAACAATAGAGTATATGAAGCAGAGAATCAGTGATTTGATACAAGGAAGCAGTGGGGAAAAATCAGAACAGCCCTAGCTGGTTTGGTTCAGTGGATAGAGCGTTGGCCTGCAGGCTCAAGGCTCCCAGGTTCAATTCATGTCAAGGGCACATGCCTAGGTTGCAGACGTAGTCCCCAGTAGGGGGTGTGCAAGAGGCAGCCAATCAATGATTCTTTCTCCCTCTCCCTTCCTCTTTGAAATCAATAAAAATATACTTAAAAAACCACCACAACAACAACAAAACATTGAAAAAAAATCAGAACAGCAAAAAGAAAAAAGAATCCAAAAAAATGAGGATAGTGTAAGGAGCTTTTGGGACAACTGCAAGTGTACTAACATTCACTTCATGGGGGTGCCGGGAGAGGAAAACTTCCCTAACCTGGTGAAGAAAATAAACATGTAAGTCAACAAAACACAGAGAATTCTAGAGAGACCCACACGACACATCATAATAAAAATACAAAAGGTTAAAGACAAAGAGAATCTTAAAAACAGCAAGAGAAAAGCAGTTAGTTATCTACAAGGGAATCAGATTGTCTGCTGACTTCTCAACAGAAACTTTCCAGGCCAGAAGAGACTGACAAGAAATATTCAAAGTGATAAAATGCAAGGACCTACAACCAAGATTGCTCTACCCAGCAAAGCTATCATTTAGAATCAAATGGCAGATAAAGGACTTTCCAAACAAGAAAAAACTAGAGTTCAACACTACTAAACAAGCATTACAAGAAATGTTAAAGGTCTTTTTTAAGAAGAAAGAAAAAAGAAAAGATCAAAATATGAATAATGCCCATAAAAAAAAAAGAAATCTTACTTTTTGTGACAGCATTGGTGTTATGCTAAGTGAAATAAGTCAGTCAGAGAAAGACAAATACCATATGATTTCACATATATGTGGAATTTAAAGAACGAAATAAATGAACAAACAAAACAGAAACAGACTCATAGATACAGGGAACAGACTATGACTGGCAGAGGAGAGGGAGATCAGGGGACCGGGTCAAAAAAAGTGAAGGGATTGAGAACTACAGATGGGTAGTTACAAAATAGTCACGGGGATAAAAAGTACAGCACAGAAATAGAGTCAATAATAGTGTAATTAACTGGTATCAGTTGGGTACTAAAAATATAAGGGAGACCACTATATAAAGTATATGACTGCTGCCCAGCAGGTATGGTTGAGCGTCAACCCATGCACCAAGAGATCACCTGTTCAATTCCTGGTCAGGGTGCATGTTCAAGTTGCGGGCTTGATCTCCAGTAGGGGGCGTGCGGGAGGCTGCCGATCAATGCCGTTTCTCATCGATGTTTCTCTCCCTCTCCCTTCCTCTCTTTCTAACAATCAATAAAAATATATTTTAAAGAAAATATATGATTGCCTAACTAATACTATGCTGTACACCTAAAACTAATAGAAATAATACTGAAAACAAAAAGAAGGGGAAGAAGTGAACTGAGGATTAGTACAAAGATAACTTCATAGCTATTAACATTTTTGTTCTTTTAAGAGAAAAAGGGAAAGAATATTAAAAAGCAAACATGAGCCCTAGCTGGTTTGGCTTAGTGGACAGAGCATCAGCCTGCAGACTGAAGGGTCCCAGGTTCGATTCCCAGTCAGAGCACATGCCCGGGTTGTGGGCTCCATCCCCAATAGGGGCCGTGCAGGAGGCAGCGATCAATGATTTTCTCTCATCATTGATGTTTCTATCTCTCTCTCCCTTTTCCTTCCTCTCTGAAATTAAAAAAAAAAAAAGCAAACTTGACAAAGTTTTAGGCATTCATTAGTGATAGTAGATACTTTTTGTTGTATTATTCTCTTCTTTGTCTCAATTTAAATTTTTTCACAATAAAAAACATTTCATATGTTCATCACTGTTTAAAAATTTTCCAAAATATTGTTTTAAATAGTGTGTACATACAAGGAGTTGTAACACTGCACATCTCAACAGTACAAGCAACATGGGCAGCCTGTTTCCCATTTGGCTCCACTGACACGCGCTCTTCACCTGTTACCAAGTCACATGGCACACCCTAGGATGACAAAGAAACCTGGAATTACTTTCACTTTGAAAAGAAATTTTGAATGTGTGATAAAGTACTCTCACCATTATGATCAAATTTATTTGTCAAATAGCTGAAACAAAATATTCTCAATCCTTTAACAAATATTTTTAATAAAAAATAAAAGCTGAAATCTTACTGTTTGTGACAGCATTTTATTACAAAACCTACATAAAACTTGGAAACACCTCAAGGCAGCTAAATTCTCAGGTAACAAAAGCATGAGAAATTATAGGAGTTTCACTTTTTAACTTTGTATGTTTCTATGCTATTTCAGTTTATTAAAATAAAATGAGCATGAGTTATTTCTATATTCAAAAATATTATAAATAAAATTTAAAACAGTACAGTCTTCCCAATATAATTCCTTGAGAAGGACCAACATCAATGCTATGGTGTATCAGAGTGATCAACCACCCTGGTTTGCCCAGGACTGAGGTGTTCCCAAGGGTGAGGGACTTCTGGTGCTAAATCTGGGAAACTCCAGGCCAACTGGGACAGCTGGTCTCCCCAGTGGCCTGAAACTAATCATGAGGCAACATCAGACATATCCAAACTGGGTGACAGTTTACAACACAACTGACCTGTAGTCGTCTTCCAAAATGTAAAGGTTATGAAAGACAAAGGAAGACCAAGAAATTGCCTCAGATTAATAGAAACTAAAGATATGAGAATGAAAAAAGTGTGAGTCCCTGAACAGAACCTGGGGGTGGGGGCAGTGAGGGCAAGGGGGAGTATTATTATTGGACAATTGGCAAAACTTGAACATAGAGTATGGATTTAATAATAGTAGTCTATCAATACCAAATGACCCGCTTTGGATAAATATCCTGCGGTTATATAAAAAAAGTCTTTGTTCTGAGGAAATACTTTTTCAGTATTTATGGATAAAGAGATAATTATGTATGAAAATTACATAAATTATTCAGAACAAAAAAATAGAGAATACAAATTACCTACCAAAACTGGTTTATCCCACATTACAGTCATAATAAAACAATGAACCAAATTTTAGCCCATTTAGTAAAACGATGCCTTAGACCACAGGGCATTCGGTCCTTTTCAGGTTTGAAAAGGTGGCTTCAGTCTTTGTCATTGGTTCTAGTTGATAGTATCAGAGGGCTAATCTAACAAAGGGTAAATTGAACATCACAACAGAGTAGTGGTTAACTCTGAGGGGCAAAGGAGGGGTTCACAGAGTTTCAACTATATCAATATTTTATTTCTTAAAAAAAGTAAATAAAACAAGTATGGCAAAATGTTAGAATCTGATGGGAATTGGGTAGTGAGTTCAGATTATTTGCGTTATTCTCAGCATATCTCTGAATATGTGAAATATTCTGTAACAACATATTTCATTCATTCTAATACGCACATTATTACAGGATACATCTTAACAATTGATGGCATGTCAGAGTTCACTTGGCAGTACTTATTTCTCAACTGTACATAAAATAATGGCACATCTTACAATTGATGGCTTCTTAGGTGCAATGAAATATGGCAATTTTTGTTAATGAAGGGCATACTACATATGCACTCCACCCTCCCATCTTCCTTGTTACCCAACCCACACACACAAAATTAACAAGGAGCAAATATTTGGTAATATACTGACCTCAGCATTACTCTTTTCGAAGATCTCATGTGCCAGTAATTTTAAAGGACCACAATACACTCCAGATTTTGCTGACAAGTATTTCTGGATTGCATGGTAAGTCTTTCCACTGTTTGTGGGGCCTGAATGGAATATTACCTTCCGCTGTATGGCTCTGGCTTCTGGGTACCTAAAACATAAGTAGGCAAACAGCTTAACCTTATTAATTTCAAAATCTATCTTGGCAAAGTTCCCAATTGAAAAAAATTCCAATGAAACATTCTCTTAACATGTACAAGGTAACATCTTTTAAAAAATTAACTAAATGACACGTGTCATATCGACACTAAAATAATGACTGCTTTCCAAGAATGACATTTACTAACTAGAGGACAGAAAAATCCAAATGCAAATTAATTTATTGGATAGTTTTACCACTGTACAAACCCTTTTCCCTCTGTAGTTACTTAAAATGAATTTAAACTACTATTAGCTCCATAGGTATGTTCACATCACTTCCACAGCTCTCAACACGTGACGTTATAAGCAAATATTCCCAGGCTTCTGAATTTCAATGTATACAACATAATGACTGAGTCTTCTGTTTCTGGCCATGATGAGTGGTACTGGACTTGCCCTCCCACCATAAACAAGTACAAAACTGGACAAAATATATGCAGCAGCTGCTTGGGGACATGGATAACAGGCAGTGCAGGACTGCAGGCCCAGAAGAAGGGAACACTCGAGATGAGCCCTACTGCACCCCAGTAGGAAATAGGGAGGTGGAACCCAAGCAGAGTATGATGGTCCCACTGAGCTGAGCAGCCACGATCCAATTCTCCGTGGCTGCAGCAGCTGAAAGTTAAAGAACAGAGTGTGGAAGGAAAAAGGGTGCAGTAAAGAGGGAGCCTTGAAGCCTGTGTGGGAGTTCCCTGTGGGCCCTTGGCCCAGGGCTGGGCTGAACATGGGCAGCACCTAGCAGAGAATAGCTTGCTAAGGGTCTGAGCAGACAGTCTCAATGAGGTGGCAAAGTACTAGGAGACACTGGAGTTCTGCCACAGTGGTTGTGAGAGCTCATTACCGCCCCAGGCACTCAGCAGAGACACCAGAAAGGCCACACCTGAATGACAAGGACAACACCCTAAAGTGAGGGCTACTGTAGATGTGCAGTAATAAGTCTTAAAACCGAGCTGGCAGGATAAGGGGAGACAGCAGTTTATTGCCTGCCAGAATTAACGGCCTTTTCCTAGGGAAAACACAATCTAGACTCCTCATATCTTACCATCCAGAATATAATTTAAAAAAATAATAATCTCCCAAGATTAGAAACTGAAAATTTCAAATCCACAAATGAAGAAACTAACCAATTAGGCGGTATTCTTAAGTCACTGATTTTACGTAGATCATCCTTACATTCCAACACAGGAAATATCTGTTTTGCATGTCTCAAGAAAAATGGAAATAAGTCATCCACATGAGCTGGAAAATAAAACACGGCATTAACAGGTGCAATCTACGTGTTAGCCGTAACGACACTTTTTCTCAGTGGGCTAAGTCTCAGGGACATTACCAGGATAAAAAGAAAAGCCGGGGAGCCAGGAACTCCACCCTTTTCTGAGATCTGCTGTGTCTTACATGCTCCTCCCAATTTCACTTATATTTTCTACGAAAAGGGGAAATCGGTTGCCATCCACCATGTTCTACTCATCCAATGCAAGCAGGTAAAGGTCAGCATTGGGAAAAGTTAAATTAAAAAATAAAGAACATGGAAATATACATTAGAAAGAAGCCTGTGGTTCAAGAAATGCAGGTGCAAACACTTGTTAAACTACAGAGCCCACTGTAAAACATGAACAAGACTGATTTCTCAGCAAGAAGTCTCCACACCTTAGTGGCTCTGAGGGTGAGGCTGTGGCCCATTCTGCTTTGTATCCAGGTTCTACCTCAGTTCCTGGCACAGAGTAAAGGTCTAATAATCAAATACATTTAAAATATATATATCAAAACCAAGCTGCCTATGGGAACAAAATAATGATGGTCTTACTTTTTTCTTTTACGGCAAGAACTCTGTCCTGATGCAGTAAAGAAACAGTGGCAGAAACAGATGGAATCTGCTATGCATTAATTCTACCTGCTATGAGAGTTCATCCCACTGGGGCCTATATTAGCACATAGTGAAGAGCAGATGGTAACAGATCAAACTTGCCTCCAGTCTAAGACATATGGGGGGTTTAACAACTAGCTCAGGAACCCAATATAAAAGCAACAGGACCCAGACAGCCTCCTATGCAAGCACTAAATTATTTACAGAAAATGTTAATAGCGTCTATTTTACACAAATAAACCCCGACTACAGAAATAAACATGAAGGAAATAGAAAGTATGTTCAACAGGATTTCAAAAAATCTCTATAAACACTTGCCTGCACTGAAGCAAATATCATTCAAAATAATGTGAATGTCCACATCCAAGGAATGAGACTGCAGGATATAATTTCTAAAGCTTATGAAAGCTTGATGGAAGAGACGAGCTGCAGGAAATACAAAATCAAAATAGGCAGGGCTTAGTTTTCATCTCATTTGTCATTTTAAAAAGTACATATACACATCACACCTAATTAATCAAAGTGTCCTTTTTTTTTTGGTTTATCGGATCTGGGCCAAAATTGAAATCCTAGCACAACATGAAGGAAAGCTGAACACACAGCTCTTTGCTATATGTCTGGCTCACCACATACATCTTGCCAATCTCCTGCTCAGATAGAAGCAGAGATCAGGGACATCCTCCAATCACAACTATGTACGTACTAGAGGCCCAAAGCACGAAATTGGTGCAGGGGAGGTGGGGGGAGGGCTCAGCCCGGCCTGCGCCCTCTTGCAGTCCAGGAGCCCTCGGGGGATGTCCGACTGATGGCTTAAGCCCGCTCCCTGCAAGCAGTCAGACATCCTTAGCTCTGCCCCAGAGGCGAGAGAGGCTACCACCACCACCACCACCACCACCACCACCACCACCGCTGCGCTCGCCAGCTGTGAGCCTGACTCAGGCTTCTGGCTGAGCAGCACTCCACCTGTAGGAGCGCACTGACCACCAGGGGGCAGCTCCTGCGTTGAGTGTCTGCCCCCTGGTGGTCAGTGCGCATCATGGCAACCGGTTGTTCCACCATTTTGGTCGATTTGCATATTATCCTTTTATTATATAGGATAGGATGTCCAGGACACACAGATGCTACACCATACTCACAAAGCTATAATCTAAAAAGTAATAAAATATCTCAAATAGAATGTCATTAGCATTACCATCGAGTCCATAATCAGCACCCAGTTTCTGAATTTCTTTCCTCTTGTAAAACTGGTCTAAGATCTTCTTTACTTCATCTGGAAGAAAACATACCAAAATTTAAAATTTGTTTAACATTTGTTTCCCAAATAGAGAAATGCCTAAAAAAAACAAAAGAAACCTGAAGTCCTAACACTCAAGGCGGCAGTCTACTGAATGCTGCAAGAACTTAAAGGTTTTATTTGGTCACAAGCTCTTTTTGACTTAATAGTGAGATGGAACGCCTAAAAAATTATAAAGTCAAACCATGCAACATTCCTGTTCCACTGCAGAGGAGTAAGCAAGGTGCTACAGGGTTGGACACTGCCTCCAGCCTCCATCAGGCCACTTGTACATAACCATGTTCTATTCTGTCTACTTACAACCACTATGAACATCTAATAGTGAGCAGCTAAAAGGTATCTAGAAAGACAACCAACACTACAAGGGCCAGACCAATATGCTTTTATGCAAATAACTAGAGGAGCCAGGATGCCCAGCCTATGTGGCTCAGTGGTTGACGGTCCACCCATGAACCAGGAGACAACGGTTCCATTCCGGGTCAGGGCACATGCCTGGGTTGGGCTTGGTCCCCAATGGGGGGCGTGCAGGAGGCAGCCAATCAATGAAGTTCCCATCCATGTTTATCTCTCTCTAGCCCCCTCCCTTTCGCTCTCTGAAATCAGTAACAACATGTATGTCAATCAATAAATAAGAAAGAAAATAAAGCACCCAGGGATGATCTTTAACTTGAAGAAGATGGCTTTAGGGAGAACAGGTGATACTTATTTTGTTCCAGATGGCATAACTAAAGTCAACGGGAAATGAGGGAAGCAGATTTCAGTGGAATTCATACAAGAGCTTCCTAACAACCAGAACAGCGAAAAGGGACCGGCTCACGGGAGTGCCGGCTCCTTGTCCATGAAAAGTACTCAAGACTTAAATGGCCGCGTTTCCAAGGCGATGGCGGAGAAATCACTGTGCTGCGGGGGAGGTCGAATTAGATGCCTGCCAAGCAACATGCCACTATGAATCAATAAGATCTTAAGTATTTTATAAAAATACTTTATATTAATCACGCTGAGATTGTACTGTCTTTGGACATGTTAAAATATCACCGCATTATTCTGTAGAGAGAAACATTTTACTGATCCAGCCACACACTGCATTCCTGGGAGGGTGGTAGGCAAGCCGACAGCCATGAACCGATAAGGATGCTGGGCACAGCCGGGAAGACAGGACCTCAGCCCGTGACCTTTCCTCTCCGGCATATGGCTGGTCAGGAGGTTCAAACCCCCCGGCCCTTTCTCATCCCTGGCCGTGAAGACCGGACCCCCTGAGCTTTCGTATAATGGTCATTCGGTGGACCCCCCTGGGACAAGCAACAAAGGACTGAGGGGGGCCTGTGGCGACTCTGGGGTCCTTGCAGGACAGAGACGCCCGCCGCCCGGCACTCACTCTTGTCCAGGGGCCGGGTGAGCTCGGCCCCCACGTCGCCATCCGCGCTGGGGCCCTGAGGTTTCACCGTCAGCGGCACAAACAGGGACGTGTTGGGGGCTTTGGAACCTCCGGACGCAGAAGAGGAGGCGGAGGCAACGGCGGGAGTGCGCCCCAGAGGCCCGGGGACGGGCCCGCGGTGAGCGCGGAGGGCGGAGCAGACGGCCGCCCGGTGTCCGGCGCGGCGCCCCGCCGGGAGCCGAGCCCACAGCAGGGCACACCGGGGAAAGGACATTGAGAGCGCAGGTCTAACGAGCGCGGTGCCGCGGCGAAGGGACACGGCGTTGCCGGTGACGCACACGGCCGGCGCCTGCTCCCCGGGAGGACCCGGACCCAGCACGGAGCTGCCCAGGGAAACGCTCGATCAAACAGAAAAAGTGCCTGCAGTCAGATTGCTCAAAACGGGGAGGAAAAGATTAGGCATGAAAACTAGAAAAGACATGTTCTTGTTCTCTCTCATTAGATATTGAGGCCAGCTTTCTCTAAAAAGAAAAATAAAGAAAAGGATCAGGCACCTTTGGGGAGGTCACAGATGCGAGGAGGGGGCCTGCGGGGGGTCACGTGACACAGGCTGGCAGGGCCGCTTTGAGAAGCACGTGGGCAGCGCCGTGAGCAGTGCGGTCGGGGTAGACGGAGGAGCAACTTCTTGTGCAGTGGGCGCAGCTTGCGAACCGCAACGCTCTTACAGAGCATTTCCCCAGGTTTCTTGTGTTTGCACGTTTCCTGAGAGAGTAGCATTAGAGAACATAACTTGATCTGCCCTACAGGAATGCTGCCAAGGTAGTTCTCCGGCGTACAGTTTCTTAGGTAAACCCCTTGTATGGCACGTGTGTAAGCGCGGACACATTAATGCGGGCTGTTTGTGTACATCGTCCAAGCAGCCGGTATGTCACAACTGCGTAGCAAAAATATGTCCTCTGCACCCCGGCCAAAGTTTAGTTTCATTTGCATTGGCTGGATACTGTCCTATGAGGTGGCAACATATTAAATTCAAAATATGCTTAGATCTTCCACCTTTCAATTATACTTAAAAAATTAGGATCTTGCAACTTGAATGTGTCATGTAATATGTGAATATTGTGTCAAGTAGAATTCCAATAACAACTGGTTATGTGCCTTTGATTCACAGAATACTTTTTAAACAGTGTGACACGAGTATTACATTTGGACCCATACATTTTTCTAAAGGACATCTTTAATTTTATAATCACTAGGAGAAAATAGGTTTAGCAGTTTATTCAGATATTGAGTGTGTATGATAAGCACAAAGTATACCAAACAAAACAGACTGAGCCCTTACGAGGCTTAAATCCATTGAGTTCAAGTCTTTTAAGTGCGGTAAAGCAGAGTCCTGGAGGTGTGCACAGCATGCCCTGGCCGCAAAACGAACGGACATCTTTGCCTGATAGATGGAGATGGTGTCAAGCCTGCTTGGCCAGGAGAGCCTTACTAGAAGTTAGCTGGAGTGCACGGAAGGTGGGTAATTCTCTAGAGTCTGGCAAAACTGGAGCTGAAGCTGTTTGTAATAGGGAATTTAAACTTCATCCTGGAATCAAATCACTATGATTTTAGGTAGGGGAGTGACGTAAGAATTATGCTCATTGGAGAGCCTAAGAAAGGATGCATTATACATATTTAATGATGCATTTTCTTCACTATGCCTTTGTGTAATTGGAAACTTAAAAAATGTTACATTCCAATCCAGACTAGTAAAAGCCCCTGAAAATTTCCTTTATATACTACTAGAGGCCCGGTGCACAAAAATTTGTGCACTGGGGGGGGGGGGGGGGCCTCTCAGCCCGGCCTGTGCCCTCTCGCAGTCTGGGACCCCTTGGGAGATAATGACCTGCTGGCTTAGGCCTGCTCCCGGCTGGCAGAGGGCAGGCCCAGTCCCTAGGTGCAGCCCCTGATCAGGCTCAGAGCAGGGCCTATTGGGGAGTTGGGGCACCGCCCCGTCATGCACAGAGCAGGGCGGATTGGGAGGTTGCGATGCCATCCCCAGTCACGCTCAGGGTAGGGCCGATTGGGGGGTTGGGGCACCGCCCCGTCATACACAGAGCAGGGCGATCGGGGGGGTTGTGATTCCACCCTCAGTCACGCTCAGGGTAGGGCCGATTGGGGGGTTGGGGCACCATCCCGTCACACTCAAGGCAGGGTCGATGGGGAGGTTGCGGTGTCATGCACAGAGCAGGGCCAATCAGGGGGTTGGGGCATTTCCCCGTCACTCACAGAGCAGGGCCCATCAGGGGGTTGGGGCTCTGTACCCTGTCATGCACAGAGCAGGGCCCATTAGGGGGTTGGGGCGCCGCCCTCTATCACCCACAGAGCAGGGCCAATCAGGGGTTTGGGGTGCCGCCACTCTCACACTCAGGGCAGGGCCGATGGGGAGGTTATGGCTCTACCCTGTCACACACAGAGCAGGGCCCGGGGGGGGGGGGCGGGGGGGGGAGGGCGGTTGGGGCGCCGCACCCTGTCACACACAGAGCCGCAGGGCGATCAGGGGCGCTGCTCCCTGTCACGCTGATCCCGGTGCCGGGAGGCATATTACCCTTTTACTATATAGGGTAGAGGCCTGGTGCATGGGTGGGTGCCGGCTGGTTTGCCCTGAAGGGTGTCCTGGATCAGGGTGGGGGTCCCCACTGGGGTGCCTGGCCAGCCTGGGTGAGGGACTGATGGCTGTTTGCAGCTGGTCACACACCCTTCAGGGTGGGGGGTCCCCGCTGGGGTGCCACTGGCCAGTCTGGGTGAGGAGCTGAGGGCTGTTTTCAGGCTGGGGGTGACTGAAGCTCCCAACCGCTCCTTTTTTTCTTTTTTATTCTGGGCCAGCTTTAGCTTTGAGACTTGGCTCTAGCTCTTAGGCCTCCACTGCTGAAAGTAGGTTTCTGGCCTTTGCTTACAATGTTGCGATCCTGCTGGCTGAAGCCCGGCAGGATTCTGGGGTTTTGTTTAGCTTCTATGTTTGTTACATAGTTGCTTGCAGCTCAGAGGCCTGCCGCGGCAGGCAGGGAACGTTGCGGAGTCCTCCATCACTGAAGCAAGCAAGCCTCATGTTAGTTTCAAGCTGCCTGGCTACCGGCCGCCATCTAGGCTGCCAGTTAATTTGCATATTGCCCTGATTAGCCAATGGAAAGGGTAGCGGTCGTACGCCAATTACCATGTTTCTCTTTTATTAGATAGGATATTCAAAAGATTCAGCTGAATATAAAAGGAACATAATAGAAGACTACTGACTCACATAATTAGAATTGAGTATTCCAACTACTTCATCCATACTAAAGGGTTCCAGAATATGCCACTGTAGCATAAAAGTTTTAAATATTTGAGTTCCTGAAGTCCCTATCTGCCTAAAAGCAGAGCCTCCAAAAGACTCTATCATAAATCTCTTTGGGGAGCAAGCAGGGGAGATGAACTCAGCACCAGACAGACCTAAATAGACTCTGGCACAAAACTATCCTATCTACCATCTATTTTCCTAAGAACCCATGTATTTTTCCTAAAGCCGTTTCCTTTCCATGTCCTTTCTCCCCCCAAATACTAAGAAATTATTTGTAAGTGTCCTTTACCCCCCTTTCCCCTTATCAATTAGATATTTAAGCCCCAAATTTAACCACCCCTTTAAGTCACATTTTCATAAATTCCCTTATACTCAAATCTGTTTTTTCTCCTGCTAATTTTTCTGTCAGTTTCATTAGCAGGCTCCCAAACAGATGTTAAAGGTTTTCCTCCCCAATTCAAAACAATGAAAACTCTTCACTTGTGAGAAAAATAACTATTCAAATGGTTCAGACAATAGTCTGGGTAGCTCCTTTTAATGCTTATGTCCAGGCCCCTGAAATTCTGATTTTAGTGGTCTGGGTAGGATCTGGCATGGTTATTTTCAAAAACTACTTAAGTGATTTAAACATGCAGCCAGGCCCTAGCCGGTTTGGATCAGTGGATAGTGCATCGGCCTGCCCAGGTTCTATTCCAGTCAGGGCACATGGCCAGGTTGCAGACTCGATCCCCAGTAGCGGGTGTGCAGGAGGCAGCTGATCAATGATTCTCTTTGATCACTGATGTTTCTATTTCTTCCTCTCCCTTCCTCTCTAAAATCAATAAAAATATATTTAAAAACAAACATGCAGCCAGGATTGAGAACTTCTGGATTAGAGATTGTACTCTATGAAAACACAAATTTCTTTTCCAGTTTACCTCAGATTAATTGGCCAGCTTTTTACTCAATTCACCAAGTACTAAATTCAAATTTTTATTTTTCAAATCGGTTCTGCAACAAAGTCAAGCAAAGTGAGTAAGCATCCTATTGTTAGGGGCAGAAACAGAATAGTGGAGACTAGCTGTAAGAAATGTTAATCATGCTTTTAACTGTGATTGTCCTGTTTTGATTAAAGCAAGCACATTCTAACCTGGCTGAAAGTTGTCCACCCTGTAACCATTATACCTTGCCTACTTACTTCCCATCCTGTGATTTCTACTTTCCCAAGTAATCTTTGTCCTTCTACCCAATATAAGTAGCTGGCTTATGGGGAGGGGTAGAGCAGACTTTTGTACGTAACCTGCTGCTCTCCCATACTGCCAGCATTATTGGAATAAATGCTCATATATGATTCAACCCTGTCTCTGCTTAATTGGCTTAGTGGAGGCAGCCTGGGCCCATTGGTTATCCAGTTTCTCCATTTGACAGTGTTTTGAGCCACCTAATTAACAACTTTTTTTTTTTCACCTAATTAACAACTTTGTGTAGCTATTTAAAATTGAAACCGGCAGTATTTATTAAAAATTTAAATTTTCGTAATTATAGCTTCCTGAACTGTTGAGCAATCTGACAATGAGAAGAGATCTGAGAAAATAATTATTTTAATCATTTAAAGCAAGTTCAGTATCTGTTTCAAATTCTTTATTATACATCATGGTCACATGATTTGAGGCTGGATAAATACAACTGGTTTTCAAATTTTCTGTGAATATTTTCTAGATTACTTCATGCAAGTGACCATGAGAATATTTGGCATTTTTAAATTCTGAAACTCTGAACAGGCACTTACATGAAAGGGAAATATGACCATTTACATATATCCACAGTTAAAACAGATGCTCCAGCGCATGGTACATGGAACCTTTTGCCAGAAAAGAAGCTGGTTACTGACCATTTTATCAAAGTGCCATCGTAGTAAAACAAGTTTAAAGAAATGTAATTTGGATTAATTAGCTTACTCATAAAGTAAGGTTAACTCACAAGACTTGCACTGAAGTGTATAAAATATATTGGTACAAAAACCAATGAATCATGTGGAGTAGTTTCACACAACAAGCTTCGTTGTTTTAGTTCCTACACCCCACATTTAGTGTGTCTGAGATCAGACCTTAGGCACATGACTGCAGCTTTTTTACAAACTTTGAACAAATTACTTGAATTTAGTATTAAAATTTAAACAGAGCGGGTGAAATTTAAAGTTGAGTTTGAATGAGCCCAAGTTCCAATTTAACAAAAATGATATTGTCCCAGATCTGGATAACGATAAGCTCATTAACAGGTCCACCTGAATCACCCCCATCCTCAAATTCTCTCCTTCAAAGGGAAGAGAAGATTAGTGAAGTCAAGAAAATTATATTTGCATATATGTGGTAAAAAGATTCCTTAAATTAAAAAAAAATTTCAAAGTATCAACAGAAAAATTATAGAGATTTAACAAATTCTAAATGCCAACATAGACTCAACTCCACATTGCAGAAAACATACAGTGTACCTGCTGGACAGTAGTAGCAGAATGGTTACTTCTCATGACAGGAAAAAAAGGCTGTAATAACATGCTACATAATTTCTGCAAGGAAAAAATTAATACCACAGAAGACTTCAAAGAATAAAATTCAGGAAGCTTTGGAATGGTAGACTCAGAAGCACCTACAGTGAAACATTCCATTTGCATTTCTCAAATACACATGTAAGAACATAAATGTAGTACTCAAAAATATTAAGATGCCATGTTTTAAATCTCTGTAGGATGTAAGGGCCACTCAGGTTTTCCAATTTTATTTGAACACAAAATATTTAATTTTGCATGTAGAGGATAAGAGGTAATTATTGGCATGAAAAAGGAAAAGAAACTGGTTTACAATCAACATTATGCATAAAGAAAGCAAAATTACAAATACCAGCCTACTCATGAAAATCTTTAATGTTTATACTGATGCATATATGAGTGCTTACCATCAAAGTGTGCAGTAAAAAAAAAAAACCACGGCAGCTTAAGAAAGTTCCAGTGTTTCAAAGAAAGCACTTTTTAAAATGTAGTATATGTAAGAATATTTAGTTATATCATAAAATAAATGCAGCGCTGTAAGATAAAGGAAGACTATTATACATGGACTTTTGGCCTTCCCCCTGCTTCATGCTGCAACCATCTTTAATCAACTGAACTTAATCTCAACGGTTCTAAGAGTTTTTATTTTTATTTTTTTCTCCTACTCAGTTCACATTTCAGGCTGTTCAGGAGATGCCTGTGATTCTGGTGATTCAAATCGCTGGTGAAAGTTTGTTCTCTGTTTCCTCAGTTTTTCAGGAGCTTTTCTCCATAAAATGATCTCCTAGTAAAAGAAATACAAGATGCCAACAAATCAATGTTCTCATATTATTCCTTAAATTTTCATCATGAAAATGCTGCCATTTCTATTTTAACCAAAACAAAATTTGTCCCTACTAAAGCCCTGATTGACCTACTTTCTTTTTTTTTTTTGGACCTACTTTCTTATAGTTCTAATCTTGGAATGTCCTTTCTGCCAACTCTGCCCCCACCAGCACGCATGCACACCACCACCACCAATCCAATCTGGCACAAAATTCTAGCTACTACTGATTTAAAGAATAAATCTCTTCTTTGGTTTGCTGTTCCACCGTCCTTATCCAAGTTAAAGCCCTGTCATTTCAATCTTAGATTCACTACCAGATTAATCTAAAACAGTGCTTGGATTGCTCTTCAATATTTCTCAGGCAACCTACAGACAACCTCCAAGCAGGCTTTCAAGGTCCTCCAAAACCTTTATCCACTGTACCAACATCACTCCCTTCCCTCTCTAGATCCCCATCCCCCACCAGCCAAACTGAGTTACTCTCTGCCTCCAACACACTCCAAATAAGCTTGCCCTTATCTTCCCCTATATATTCTTCAACACTCTATGCCTCAACCTATCTAAATCATACCCTAACCAATCTATCCTGAGAGCTCTTCTCTTCTGAATTCCTAAAATTGTTTTCTGCATAAAGACATAACAGGCTGTTTTGGGGTTGTTTTTTTAACCAACATCAAAATTTAAACATCCAAATGAAGGCCCATGGGAAGCAATATACTTATTCAGCAGAGCCACAACTGATTTGGAAATTGTAAATTTCATGTAATCTATTTTAAAATTTAAATTACCTATATTTAATTACACAGTATGTGGAATGGAATAAATTTTGTCTTCTAAATTACTGTCAAACTATTAAGTTTTCTGTTATTTAACTTACATAATTTTTTCCCATATATGTGCAATGTAAGAACCTCGAGGCTAATGCATGTTTTTATAAAAGGTAGTTTTTGTATTCTTCATAGTACTCAGCACAAAGTAATTTCTAATTAGTTTTGAACACTCAACTGACATGCAGATACTTATTAATCTGGTTCAGAATACAAAAAAAAAAAAAAAAATTCTAGCCTGGCCGGTGTGGTTCAGTGGTTGAACCTATGAACCAGGAGGTCATTCTTTGACTCCCAGTCAGAGCACAAGCCAGGATTGCAGGCTTGATCCCCAGTAGGGGCATGCAGGAAGCAGCTGATCAATGATTCTCATCACTGATGTTTCTATATTTGTCTTCCTCTCTCTTCCTCTCTGAAATCAATAAAAATATATATTTTTAAAAATTCTAATCACAGTCCTAGCTGGTTTGGCTCAGTGGATAGATCACTGGCCTTCGGAATAAAGGGTCCCAGGTTCGATTCTGGTCAAGGGTACGTGCCTGGGTTGCGGGCTCAATCCCCAGTAAGGGGGGTGTGAAGGAGGCAGCCAATCAATAATTCTCTCTTATCATTGATGTTTCTATCTCTCTCTCCCTTTCCCTTCCTCTCTGAAATCAATAAAAATATATTTTTTAAAAATTCTAATCACAATCTTCATTCAAAATCCACCAAAGGCTTTGATTTTGAAATGAGAACAAGTTTTGTGATAAAACATTTTATATAAAAAAGTATTACATTTGGGTCATCTCATGGACATTTATAATAGAATTAATAAGAAAGTAAGGGAAACCCCAAAATCCATCAAATTAATTCAGTCATTAAAAATGTTAATAAAAAATATTCAAGACACTGCTGAGTGAAAAAGAACATGCTTTATGTGATCTAAACACATGCACAATTTTGTCTGGAATATTAATCACAACGAATGTGGAATTTTTGATGACCTTTACTTCAATTTGTTCTTTATTGCCTGTTTTTTTTATTTTTTATTTTATTTTATTTTTACAAATAGCGGGTATTGCTTTTATAAAAAACAAAACTCCTGAGAAAAATAAAAGTCCTGCTAAACTACTGCCCATCCCAGAGGCTTGCAGAATGACTCGGACGAGATCTATTCTCCACAATACAATTCCATTCACGCTACTTCCTTATACTCTCAAGTTTTCACTTACTTATTATTAACCCACTTGCTCAGTATAATAAAACTTAGAAAAATGAGTTAGTTCAGGTGTTTTTATAACTGCCAGTGAACAAAATACCAGCCTGGGTAGCACCATACCTGCTGCTTGAAGTACCTTCTGTCTTCCTCATCAACAAGGACCAGATTCAAAAAGTACCTTACTGAAAATTTTTTGTTCACATCTCTCATTGTTGGAGTTGGGTCATATCCCGCTAAAAATAGTCTTATTGGAATTGATTCACCTGAAAGAAAAGCAATTTCCATTGAATTCTAAAAGATTATTAAATATAGTCACATTCCTAGAACTAATCTTTATAGAGAAGATACCAATGCTTCCATTCCTGAGTAGGCAGCGTAAGTAAAACTTTAAACCAGGGTTTCTCAGCCTTGGCACTATTAGCATTTTGAGCTTGTTAAGTCTTTGGTGTGGGTAAGGTCCTATGCACTGTAAGAGGTTTAGCAGCATCCCTGGCCTCTACCCACAAGATTCCAGCAGCATTTCCCAAGTGTGACAACCAAAAATGTTTCCAAGTATTGGCAAATCTCCTAGCGGTGGGGGTAATGAGCAGGGAGGGGTGATAGTGGCAAAATTGCCCCTAGGTGAGAACCACTGTTCTGAAGCCAGAATGCCTGAATTCTAATCCCAATGCTACAGTCTGCTGGCTGCGTGACCTTCATCAAATTACTTAACAATTCTGTTCTGAGCTCCTCATATGTGAAATGGGGAACAATAACACCCATCTTATAGAGAATTTGTTAGGACTATGTGGGTTAACACTAGAGGCTTAGAACAGTGCCAGCAGGTAAGTGCTGCTTTAGTGGTTTTGTTATCTTCTGCTTTCACGAAGTTTACCATAATTTCTAGTCATGTGTGTAAATTCTTGCATACTTATTACTAATTTATCCAAAACAACAAATATGTTCAGAATGATGACATTCCTTCACTACCAAAAACAAACAAACAAACAAAAAAGGTTGCTATTCACATTCTCATGGCTTCTCTTTTCCTAGGGTAACTGTTTGCATATTGTTTGGAATCTTTTTATATAATATATTTCTTGTACACATCTATTTCCTGAGATATAAAACCCATCATTTTACATAAAAATTTGTGGCTGCTGGAATTTTACAAAGGAATATTGCATAATATAACAGCACACACACATGGGGCTTGGAGTCAGAAAGGACTGGGCTCAAACTCCAACTCTACAATGATTAGCTACTGAAGGAAACCAGAATATGTCACCACAAAATATGTCTCTGATGTTATTTTGAGCCAAAGGCAATTAAGAAGCAGCAAAAGCAGAAATGCCTCCCCCTTTTTCTGCCTAAAGGCAGGATACAAATTTTCCTTTTACTGGAGACAGATTCATCAGCCCAGGGATGGCACCAAAGGAATCATCAGTTTCCTCCCATGTATTTACACTCCCACAGTTTGCCACCCTTAGAAGCCTAAAACTTACTTTTCTTTGTCTAGTCATTGCTGTCCAAATTTACTGTCCTTTTGAAGATGCTAAGCCACCACTTTGAGTTACCTTTTGCTGAGGTTTCTCCTGCACAATGTGCACTGCATACATTAAACAAACTTTCTGCTCTTCTCTTAGTAATCTTTTTGTTCAACAGTCCCAGCTAAAAATCTAAGATGGGTAGAAGTAAAGTTCTGCCTCCCCTACACTATATCACCTTTAATAGGTTTTTTTAACCTCTCTGCATCTTGGTTTCATCTGTGACATAAGGAATACCACCACCCAACTCAAAGGTGGCATGGAACTTTAGAGCACCTGGGAGTGGTTGGCACAATAGCTACTTTTTTAAGTAATTACTAACAGAGTTAGAAAAAGCCAAAGGCATACATTTAAAATGATAAACATTGGCTTTATTATTTTACACACTGAAGATTATCTAGTAATGGAACTGCTTATTTTCTTGGGGGCTATAAGGACTCTAGAATCCCACAGGAATTAATGCTCACCTATATTTCACCTTATGTTCAGCAAGAATAAAAAAGATTTACAGAGATGAACTACTATAACAGAATACAATAAAAATTTACAAATTCAGAAATAGAGAAGATATACATGCCTTCTAAATTCTAAATTTAAACAGTAAAAAAATTAAGCCTTATTTCAGACTACAAAGTACTATTATAGTCTTCTCAGTATATATACAAAGATGATCTTAAAAACCATCATTTTAAGAATTCACAAAGATTCTTATACTACATAAATACTTTCAAACAAAACTGTCATGAACACTGCTGCTTGCACTACCTATAACAAAAGAAACAAGTGAAAAGTGTTACCTTTGACTGGTGCACCATCCATTATTTCATATTTAGCAATTGTTTCTGTTTCTGTTGTGGTACTGGGTCCTAGTGCAATAATGTAAATGATATTAAATATTTCCATAATATAATTTCCAGTTCTTCTCATTTTCCTACTACATTATTTTAGTACTAATTGATCTTTCTATTTTGTGAAAATGTTGACCATTCTTTTTTTAAAAAACTGATTTCAGAGAAGGAGAGGGAGGGAGGAAGAGAGAGACAGAAACATCAATGATAAGAGAAGAGTCATTGATCGGCAGCCTCCTGCACACACTACACTAGGGATTGAGCCCACAACCTGGGACATGTGCCCTGACTAGGAATCAAACCGTGACTTCCTGGTTCATAAGTTGACGCTCAGCCACTGAGCCATGCCTGCCAGGCTTGACCATTCTTTTCTATTTCCTGCTCTACATGTAACATACTTAACACTCAACTGAATGTTTCACTCCCTTCTTCCTTAAGATAATATACAGTGCAAGAATCTTCTTCACGGAGTTCCTTCTATAGGTCCCAAAACCTGATAAATTGGAAACTAGCAATCCACATCAGAACTAACCATTGACTTGCTAGTTTTCTCTGCAACACCCAAACTGTCTTTCCCTTGCAGTTAAAGTTAACTTTAACATAAACAAAATATACTGAATACCTGATTGACATATAGTTCTTTTATGTTTTAAAATTATATGGGTTTTTTTATTGTTTAGAAAGAGAGGAAGGGATAGAAACATCAATGATGAGAATCATCAATCGGCTGCCTCTTACATGACCCCCATCACGTTCCCCACCAGGGGATTGAGCCCACAACCTGCAACCCGGGCACGTAGCCTGAGAGGAAACAAACCCGGGATTGAACCTTGACCTCCTGGCTCATAGGTCGACCCTCAACCACTGAGCCACACATGCAAAGACTAAAGTCTGTTCTGGATTATGACTACAGATTATTTTTTATTTAAAATTTTCTAGAATCAAACAATTTTTATACTCAGAAAAAATGTTTCCATAAACAATTTTTAAAACCACAAATGGGAACCTGAAGTTTGGTTTTAATGTCTTTAAATCACTGTAACTTTTATTAGCAAGTGAAACATAGAGATTAAGAAATCATAAATGTTTATCATTATGATTACCAATTATACACTCTTAAAAAGTGTTACCTAAAATCATTTTCAGCCAAAAAACCAACAGAGCTATAGGGGACAAACTAAATCTATATACTAAACAAAATTAAAAAGCAGTTTATGAACCAATAAATGATTTGGGGACAACTGGTCAGCCATCTGGAAAAAGTAAAGTTGCATCCATACTTCATATCTTCCATCAAGACAAATTCCAAATGATTTAAAAATTTAAACAAAATCCCTAAACTATAATGTATTATTTTAGTAAAATCAAGCTAAGAAAATTATTCTTAGAACCTCAGTGTGAAAAAGGACGAACTGTCACACAACCCAGAGTCCATAGAAGAAAAACTAATAAACTAAATAAATATCAAGAACTTCTACATTGCATAAAGCACCATAGCAAGACAATCTGGGGAAATTTTTTTTTCTGCTCTTAACAGAAAAAGATCTTGATTTCCCTAATATATAGTTTCTATAAATACGAAAAGACTAGTAATCCAATGGAGATGGGGCAAAGGATATGGATAGGCAGTTTATAGAAGAAATATAAAAGGCTTTTATACACATGAAAAGATGCTCACCCTCACCCAGAATGAGAAAGTTAAATTCAAATAACAGTGGAAAACTTCTTCTCCCTAGCCATCAATCAGATCAGCTAAAAATGTTATAACCTTGTGATGGTGAGAACAGAGGAAAAAGAGCCACTCCCTACATTCATTGCTGGTAGATGCAAATTGTTACAAACCCTAAAGAGGACAAACTGGGATTGTGTATCAAAATTAAAAATGGCCGAAACCAGTTTGGCTCAGTGGATAGAGCGTCGGCCTGCGGACTGAAGGGTCCCAGGTTCGAGTCCAGTCAAGGGCATGTACCTGGGTTGCGGGCATATCCCCAGTAGGAGATGTGCAGGAGGCAGCTGATCGATGTTTCTCTCTCATCGATGTTTCTATCTCTCTCCCTTCCTCTCTGTAAAAAAATCAATAAAATACATTAAAAAAAATGAATATAATCTTTGAAATAGCAATCCCACTTCTAAGATTTTATCTTACACACACATATATACACACAGGCAAAATGACATTATTAACTGAAGCACTTTTTGTAATAACATAAGACTGGAAACCACCTGTATGAATACCAATAGCAGAGTGGTTAAATACTAGTACATACATCGAATGGAATACTATAAAAAAAGATGAAGTGTTCTTTCTTATGTATTGATATGAAAGATCTCGAAGATACATTACTAAGTGAAAAAGCAAGTCTATACTGTATGTAACCATTTAACTGAAAAGGGGGGCTATAATACAGAGGAACTTACATATATATATGCATAAATAGAAGGAATTATTTATGTAATTAAGTTTTATTTTTCAAAACGCGTACCTGGTGAGACGGACCTGTTGTCCATGCATCTTTACCAGCATCTGGGACATCCCCACCTTTGGTGTTTCTGGTGTAAACTACTTGAGCTGTGATTTGAAACTAGTTCATTGTTTGTGCTATTGATTTTTATAAAGAGGAGAGGAGGGAGGGAGAGGAGTAAGGGAGGGAGAAGGGGAGAGGGGGGGGAGGGAGGGAGAGGGGAGGGAGGGAGGGGATTGAGACATCGATTTGCTGTTCTGCTTATTTATGCATTCATTGATTGCTTTTTGTATGTGCCCTGATGGGACATCAAACCTGCAACCTTTGCTTATTGGGATGATGCTCTGAGTGCCTGGCCAGGGCAGGAAACTAGCTTAGTAAGTCCTTTACTAAGGAGCTCCTTAAGGGCTGCCCTGGCCAAGGAACCCTGGATCTTCAGTCTTTTAAGAGATAACAGTGGGCTTATAACCTTATAGTGGGAACTTCCTTACAGAGTTGGTCATATGTTGCTTTGTCAAACAAGACTAGATTATTGAGCTTGACCCGAACTTTGCCTTTGGACCATTTCTTTTGGCCATGCCCCCAGATTTGTCTTTCTTGGCCAACTCTCTAGCATCTTTCTTCTTCTTCTTGTCCTTGGGCTGCATAGCAAAACCAGAAGAGCAGCTGCTACCACGGCTGCTACGATAAAATGCTGGGCAAAAAGGAAGTCTAGAAGGATTTAAAAACTTATAAATGTATTACCTATGAGCAGTTGAGGTACAAAAATAGGACATTTTTTACTGTATAGTGTCTTATACTTTATTTTTGAACCATGTGAATTTGTTTTTAGTTACCTGCAGCCAACCATGGTCCAAAAATATTAAATGGACAATTCCAGAAATAAACAATTCATGTTTTCAATTGCTTGCTGTTCTGAGTAACATGATGAAATCTCGTGCAGTCCCGCTCCATTTTGCCTGAGACATGAATCATTCTTTTGTCCACTGTATCCACGCTATGTAAGCTGCCTGTTTGGCACTTGGTACACATACACACACACACAGGCAGTGCTTGGTGTTGCAGTGCTTGTATTCAAGTAACCCTTATAGTACCTAACACTATGTCACCAAGCCTACAACATTCAGCTCACTTCATCCCATCACACAGGCACTGCAGCATCTCACATGATCACAAGAAAGGTAAATACAGTCCAGTAAGACATTCTAAGAGAGACACATTCACGTTAACTTTATTATATAGTACTAGTATAATGTTGTAATTGTTCTTTTTTATCGTTCATCTCTTACTATGCCTAACTTATAAACTTTACCATAAATCTGTACACATAGAGAAAAAATAAGTATATATAGGGTTCAGTACTATCTGTAGTTTCAGGCATCCACTTCGGTCTTCAAATGTATCCCCTAGCCCAGTGATGGCGAACCTTTTGAGCTCGGAGTGTCAGCATTTTGAAAAACCCTAACTTAATTCTGGTGCCATGTCACATATAGAAATTTTTTGATATTTGCGACCATAGTAAAACAAAGATTTATATTTTTGATATTTATTTTATATACTTAAATGCCATTTAACAAAGAAAAATCAACCAAAAAAATGAGTTCGCGTGTCACCTCTGACATGAGTGTCATAGGTTTGCCATCACTGCCCTAGCCACTGGCCAGTGTTGGTCACTGGTTAGAGCATCGACTCCTGCACCAAAGGAGTGTGGTGGGTTCAATTCCCAGTCAAGGTTACATGCCTGGGTTGCTGGTTCAATCCCCAGCCCCAGCGGGGGTATGTTCGGGAGGCAATCAATTTGTCTCTCTCCCACTGATGTCTCTTTCTCTCTCCCTCTCTTTCCCCCTCCCTCCTTTCCACTCTCTCTAAAAATCAATGGAAAATACCCTCAGGCAAGGATTAACAATAATTAACTAGTTAATTAATTAGTTAAAATGTATCCCCCATGGATTAGAGGGTACTGTATTCAAAAATCAAATTTTAAAAAAACAAACGACTTACTGCCAGCAATATTAAGTATCAAAGTTAATATCTAATATAAATTTTATGTTCAAATAATATTTTAAGATTTTAAAATTTCAACTAAACAGGAATTTTCATTCAAATACTCTTTCAACTTACCAATTCCTGTGATCTCTTTTTTGATCAGTTGTAACTCCATGTGTTGGATTTTTATTCTTACTAATAAGAAGTAAATTTTTCCAACAATCACATCCTTTAAATGATACCTTTGGAGAAAGAATATATCTCATTTATACCAAATATTTAAAAAACAAAGAAAAAGAGTAAAATAAGTCCTAAAGGCTTTATTAGACATCTTTGGATTAATAGCGATGTAAGAACACCACTTTGACTATTCGTATTGTTTAATGTTCCTCTTTTTCAAAAAAGTATTAATCATTTTACAGTGTGCGCTGCTTAATGGTGGGCAAATGTTCTAAGAAATGCATCGTCAGGGGATTCTGTTGTGCAAACATCACAGAGTGCACTACACAAACCTAGATGGCACAGCCTACTACACACTGAGGTTTATGGTATACCACTGTTGTATATGAGGTGTGTTGCTGACCGAAATGTTGTTATGCAGCACATAACTGTACTATAAAAATAAGAAATCAAACTTTTACTTGACTTCAATACATCTCAAAAGGAAGAATTAACCTGATTATTGTTCCTTACCCAGAGGTTAACTTAGTTTCCAAAGAACTTAAGCATGGAAAACCTTTTCTTATTTTATTTTTTTATTGATTTCAGAGAGGCAGAGGGAGAGAGAGAGATAGAAACATCAATGATGAGAATCATTGATAAGCTGCCTCCTGCACGCCCCCTACTGGGGATCGAGCCAGCAACCCCGGGCATGTGCCCTTGACCAGAATGGAACCTGGGACCCTTCAATCCACAGGCCAATGCTCTATCCATTGAGCAAAACCAGCCAGGGCGATACATAATTTTTATGGATGAAATTTTATGCCTGTAATACCCCCCTATATAATCTAATGGGAGTGTGGGACTGAATACAGACAAAACAAATCTGAATAGTTGGAGCTGGGCAATGGGTACATGAGGATTCATTATACTGTTCAGATACCCTGGTATGTGTTTGAAAATTTCCATCATAAAGCTTAAAACAGCATTAATCTATAAGTGCCCAGCCCTAGCCGGTTTGGCTTAGTGGATAGAGCGTCAGCCTGCAGACTCAAGGGTCCTGGGTTTGATTCCAATCAAAGACACATGCCCAGCTTGAGGGCTTGATCCCTAGTAGGCAGCCAATTAATGATTCTCATCATTGATGTTTCTATTTCTCCCTCTCCCTTCCTCTCTGAAATCAATAAAAATATTTTTTTTTAAAAGAGCCCATTTCAATAAAAATACAACATATATAAACATATGCACCTCTCCCTTCTACATGGAAAAATATGAGAATATATTGTGGTTAAATGGTAAAAGTGAAAATTTGTGATATTTTTATTTCCTTTGACTTTCCCATATTATCAAAATTTTCAATAATGAAAATGTTTACTGTTTATGTTGTCAAAAAAATGTATTTTTGTTTAGTTTTAAAAAGATGACCAGGCTAAAGTGATGTCGGGCCGGTAAAATCAATTTTTAGACATAAGGTTTAGCTGCCTTCTGAGATCGTAAAATGCTCTATAAAAAAATGACCAAGTGGAAATTTATTAGGAATAGAATATGAAAGACACTTGCACTGAGTCAAAAGCCAGAACAAACTCCTACTAAAGTTTATTTCAGCTCAGAGTTTCTGTTGGTCTGTTAACAGCAGATTAATGTCAATTCTACCCTCATTTTGACCAATTTGTAAAAACCTGAAAAGCTTACTTCTTAATCTTCCCTGAACATTTAAGCTGTTTGTGAAAGGTACTTACTTTGATTTATTATATTCAAATTCTATGTGTAAACAATCTTCAATGCCCACTTCCATCTTAATAGAGTTGTTAACATCAGGGTAGGTAGCAAGCTGGTGAACAATAAGATCATATTCTTTTACCAAGTCTGTCAGTCTTCTTACTATTGTCACTTTAAGAAAATACCTATAAAGTTAATAGAAGAGTCAAGTTAAATCTCCTATGATAAGTTTCAGTGTTTTAAAAAAACAAACATTAACTGTTTACTCAGCTTTCTCCTTGCTAGAACTCCTTGGGATCAACTTCATTCATTTCATGGAGTTCTAATTTTTAAATAAATGCCCCCACCATGAGAAAAAAAACACAACAGTTCAATTTTAAGACCAGTGTACATACTTTTTAGATAAATTTGAGAGCTAGCATCAAGCCTACTGGAGGAAATCTCTCTAGACCACTCCTTAATCATATAGTAAATGAGATCTGTTGGGAAACTAATGTATTTAGAGGGCAATCCATTTACACAACAAATAAAGTACCTAAGGAACAATTCATACAAAGGAATCATGTGACTAAAACTTCTCATAATGGGATTCTCTAAATCTATAATGATAGAAGGCTCTTATTATCTCAGATCAGCATTAGCCACACAAAACAAAATATTTGACAAAATTCCTAAAAACCTTAAGTCTTCCAATCCAGAATTATAACAGAAGTTCTATTAAGACATTCAGCAGCAACCATTATTCTGTAGTTTTGACTCTACCTACAGTTTCTAATACACCTAATTCATACCTCAAGCGGACATTGGCACCGATGTAAGATTCATATGGCTTTTCAACTTGCATAAATTCAAAATCATAACTTCTGCTTTGGGTCAATTCTCCAGGTAAGGCTAGTTCTTTCACTAGGTTTACAAATTCGTGAGTATTACTCTTGTCATTGAAAAGTTCTAAGAAATTTTAAAAAGCAAAAAGACCAATTATATTTAATATCATTTCATTAAAACCCACACTTCTACCTCCAAAGCAAGTAAAAATTCATTCCTTTAATGTAGTGAGGGTTTGCCCAATATGAAGCTAATTTAAGACACATTTCCAGCAATTATTTGAACTTCCTCCCTTTGAGGCAAAAGTGTTTTATTCCTTTGCTTTGTTAGGCAAATTGATGAAACTAAAATCAACTATCAGTTAATTACTATAATTTGCTCAATATAATCTCATCTAGAATAGATAATGTGAATAAGCACCCATCCATTCCAATTTTGATACTTTAAAAATATACAATAAAACTTAGATTTAAAATCTATGTATACAGTATTATAAAGACCTATTTCCTCTTTTCTGAATCTGCAGCACCAAAAATTTATATAGTTATACTGCTAAATCAAGAATGTCTCTAAAATACATGTATGGAAATGTACACAAGTTGATCTAGGTCAATAAGAAACTACATCTTGCCCTAACCGGTTTGGCTCAATGGATAGAGCGTCGGCCTGCGGACTCAAGGGTCCCAGGTTCGATTCCAGTCAAGGGCATGTACCTTGGTTGCGGGCACATCCCCAGTTAGGGAGTGTGCAGGAGGCAACTGATCGATTTTTTCTCTCTCATCAATGTTTCTAACTATCCCTCTTCCTTCCTCTCTGTAAAAAATCAATAAAATATATTTAAAAAAAGAAACTACATCTTTCCTTTTCACACCGAATTTTCTGGCACACACTAGATTTACAGGCACACACTAGATTAGGAAGACAAATGGCATGGATAATTAGAAAGTGATGGATGAAGGTGACATATAATTGTGAATAAAGCTGGTGAAAAAAATTGAGGCAGATGGAAATTTCAATGAGTCAAATAATTTACCTGAATTATTTTTCAAGGCTGGTAGCTTACATAACTCCTTTCATGTTTAGTAATTAATTTTAACAATAAAAGCAGGATGAGTCAAACAATTCAAAGAAACATGATTTAATGTTTATAAAATAATTACTTTTATTATACAAAATCAATTCCTTCTACAAAGCTAAATTCTAATTCAATTATTTAAGTGTGCTAAATCCAATCCTCTTCAAACTCAGTTATCAAAGAAAAAAAGTAATACTATTTTACAACTCACCAATTTGACCTACAAATTCAATTCTAATTCCTTGATGTTCTAGCCTCTTTCCAGGTTGCTTAAAGGCTAGGTTTACCTGCCAAAACATGAAATTGTAAGAGATGTTAATCCTTTGAGTGGGCCTACCAGTTGATTCCTTCCAGATGAAAGCAATGTGTAAGAATTTCACGTATTTATTTCTGAAGTTTGAGACACCACCAAATACCTAAATCACGATGAGTACAGAACATATCACTTTCAGCTTTTTGTAACCAAGATTATCTTGTTATAATTCCTAACCTTAAAAGCAATGCTTACTGTTCTGTGTGTGCTACTCATCCTAAAAACATAATGTCTAAAGATTTAAATTTTGAATATGATTTATCTTACATACTTATGAGAAAATATATAATCTCAAAATCTCTGAATTTATATCTGCCAATGAAAATCTTAAATTTTTTCACAATTAAAACACATTTTTAATAGTTTTATTATTTGCTATATATCACTAGCCTAAGTTCATACCAACACATGCCCAATTCTGACACAGGTTAGTTATACCTTTCATTCTATTAAAAATCTTAATTTTATAAAATTTTAATTTGACAAAATATCTGTAAAGTACACGCATATTAAAATAAAATTCCAAATGTTTAAGGATTAGCTAATAAAAACCATTATTTACTATAGAAAATATTGGTAATGTGACTCTTAAATGCTTTTCTCTCAACAATGCTTCTCAAAAAATAACTGAAATCGAGGACCAATAAAAAAAAGAGGTCCAATTACTTATCATAAACTATATAAATTAATCACCCTTCTGTATATTTCATATTTGTAACCAGGATGAGTTAGTTACTTGCCTTCCAAATTAATATCTTAGAAAAAGAATAATTAAATTGTGGTACATCATATAATGGAATATTATTAAAGTTTAAAAATAATATGGTCAAAGAATTTTTAATGATGTGGGAAGATGTGCATGATATGTTACATGAAGGAAGCATGGTCAAACTGTATACAATTATAATGCCAATTATATTTTTTAAAACTACAGAAAACAAATTCTCTTAAAAGCAGCTACTTTGGGATTATGAGTAGTTTTGTTTTCTTCTTGTTAGTTCTCAAGGGTCTTTTCCCATGTATGTGTGTGTGTGTGTGTGTGTGTGTGTGTGTGTGTGTGTGTGTATACACACAGGCAAATAATACTTTCAAAATCAGAAAAATACTTATTAAAAAATCACAGAATGGTAGTACTTAAAGATGCTTCACATACACTACTAACAAGTTAAATATTAGGTTTGAATCACAAATAAAACAAGCATAACTCCCAGCTGTTTCATATGCCAAGCAGTCATTAGAGCTATTCTCTAATTTGCACTAATAAAGCACATAGAAAACAGTATACTTTAAACAATGTCTACTTGGCAACAATTCATAATAATGTCTTTGAACATGGCTGTATCTGATATTTTAAAATTTACAGTTCTTCAAAAAACACTTTGAAACCACATTAAGGTAGAAATGCAAATGTTTCATTTTCCCACCAAACTGCCTAACCTCTGAAATTTTCCTTGATTCCCACTGATGTTAAAATATAGTTGACTAGAGGTCCAGTGCATGAAATTCGTGCACTGAGGTGGGGGAGGCCTCAGCCCAGTCTGCACCCTCTCCCAGTCCGGGACCCCTGAGGGGATGTCCACCTGCCGGGTGTCCTGGCAGTCAGACATCCCTCTCGCAGTCCGGGGCTCTCCCAGTCCAGGATCCCTCACTCCTTACCGCCCACCTGCAGTGCAGGCAGTGGAGGCAGGTGAAGCTCCCACCACTGCCACTGTGCTCACCAGCCATGAGCCTGGCTTCTGGCTTAGCGGCGCTCCCCCTGTGGGAGCCCACTGACCACCAGGGGGCGGCTCCAGCATTGAGCATCTGCCTCCTGGTGGTCAGTGAGCATCATAGAAACCGGTCATTCCGCCGTTCGGTCGAATTGCATATTACGCTTTTTTTATATAGGATTTTAAGCCTAATTCAAGCTACTGAGAAATCTGAAGAATTCCAGAATAGAAAGGCATAATTATGTATACTGGTTTAAAAGCTATTCTGCAATGAAGCACAGAAAAATAAGTGAAATTATGATAGTGAACTGGGCTAAAGCATTTTAATACCAACTCAGTGATACTTTTGTAATGTTTATTATAATTTCAAACTGACAGAAAAGTTGCAAGAACAGCACCAGGAAATCTCACATAACCTTTACTCAGACCCATCAGATGTGGTTATATTTGGTCCCAGATGCTTTATCATCTTCCCTATGTGTACACGTATGCATGCATACATACATACTTTTCTTTATAACCAAGAATAAATTGGAGACATCATGCCCCTCTACCCCAAAAAGCTTCATGTGCACCTGCTAAGAAAATGAACTTTCTCTTATATAATTACAGTGCAACTATCAAAACCAGGAAAGTTTAACATTCCGTAGTCTATATTCAAATTCCATCAACTGTCCCAATAATGTACTTTATATCATTTTTTCCTGCTGCCCAGGCTCCAATTCAGTTTCACACATTACATATAGTTATGTCTTTTTAGTCTACCTTAATCTAGAACATTCCTCAGTTACTGCCCTTCCTGACCTTCATGTTGTTAAAGAATACAGGTCAGTTACCGTATAGGATGTCCCTCAATTTAGGCTTGGTTGATGTTTTATCACAGACACAGCTTTTGCATTTTTGGCAAGAACACCACAGAAGTGAAGTTGTGTCCTTCTCAGTGTATCTTATTAGGAAGCACATAATGCGTTTGTTCTAATACTGGTGATGTTAACTATGATCACTTGGTCAAGGTAACCCTCTAAGTTTCTCCAATTTAAAGTTACTATTTTTCCTTTTGCTATGAGTAGGTAATCACAGTAGAGAAACTTGAGACTATCTATCTATATCCTATATAATAAAAGCCAAATATGCAAATCGGACGGTGGAACAACCGGTCACTATGATGTGCACTGACCACCAGGGGGAAGATGCTCAATACAGGAGCTGACCCCAGCCCGCAGACCCTAGGCCATGGGTGGGCAAACTTTTTGACTCGAGGGCCACAATGGGTTCTTAAACTGGACCGGAGGGCTGGAACAAAAGCATGGATGGAGTGTTTGTGTGAACTAATATAAAATCAAAGTAAACATCATTACATAAAAGGGTACGGTCTTTTTTTCTTTCTTTTTTTTAGTTTTATTCATTTCAAATGGGCCAGATCCGGCCCGCGGGCCGTAGTTTGCCCACGGCTGCCCTAGGCCAACCAAGGCCCCACTGATCACCCCGCAGAGAGAGGTGACCAGTGGTGGTGGCGGGGGTCAGGGCCAGCAAGTGGGTGGCGCCAGGCTGGCCAAGGCGGGTGTCAGTGGAGCACCCCCATCATCCCTCTGGTCACTCCACAGATTGGCTCTGATTCCTGGTCAGGCCTAGGGACCCTACCCATGCATGAATTTCATGCACTGGGCCTCTAGTATATATATAAAAGCCTAAGCGACTGTTCGACCAGTAGCTATGACATGCACTGACCACCGGGGGCAGACACTCCAATCGATAGGTTACCTTGCTGCTGGGATCTGGCTGATCCGGACTGGGCAAGAAAGGCCGGACATGCCCTGGAGCCCTCCCATGACCCCTCCCCGGCCCCCATCATGGGGTCCCTCGGCCTGACCTGAGCCCTCTTGCAATCCAGGACCCCTCAAGGGATGTTGGAGAGCCAGTTTCAGCCCAATCCCCGCAGGCCAGGCCAAGGAACCCCACTGGTGCACAAATCTGGGCCTCTAGTGTATATATGTTTAAAAGGTCATGAAAACAAAATGTAGGGAAACTATACATACAACACATTCATTACTCTAACAAGCCAATCTCAAAACTCATTCTTCAGCATATAATATTCTACAGATGTCTCAAATAATGCTGTCTTCAGGATCTATTTCAGGAGTGAAATTCATCTATATTGTATTTAAGACATATATATCAGTGTACTTACTATATTCCATTTATAGGGTCATTTATAGTAAATGCTGGAGATTGTGGTTATCCAAGATTAGTTTCCAACTGCTGCTAGAAGAACATGGTCCATGTCATGTTGACATGAGATACTACAATAATATTCCTTGCTGGGAGATCTAAAATATAAACTTCTATAATCTCAGACACTGTTCATTTTTAGATACAGAGTTCATCGCATGTGTCTTGGCCCTGGTATCACCTCTTCAAGACAACTTACTCATCACCACTCCACTTTATCACCGCCCTGAATCCTGGAATTCTAGGATACAATAAGACACATCCCATACTGACACAAAATTCAATGAACAGTTTGTCAAAGAGGGGGAAAAAATCTTTCTTATTCTCTTGCCTCAAAGGGCATGGTAGGACCCAACAGACAGAAACTTATAAGGAGCACAATTTTTAAAAAAAATCTAAAAGAACATCCCAGTTAAGAAATTATAACATATGCTCTCTCCCTCCCAAAAAAAATCACCAGATAAATTACTAATCAAACTTTTCACAATTAAAAAAAGAGAGAACTTCAATAATTTAAATACGCAGCAAAACTCTCAAATTAGTAGGTATAGTAACACAGTCCAACTATTCTAGATTTAAGAGTTGTCACCTGAGCCAAAGCAGTATATATTCTAACTAAGGATAAAAAGAACCTGAGTGAGTAGCTTTTAATAATTTCCCTATTTGGCCCTGGCTGGTTTGGCTCAGTGGATGGAGCATCAGCCTGCGGACTGAAGGGTTCCAGGTTTGATTCCAGTCAAGGGCACATGCCCGGGTTACAGGCTCGATCTCCAGTGGGAGGCGTGCAGGAAGAAGCCGATCAATGGTTCTCTCTCATCACTGATGTTTCCTATCTCTCTCCCTCTCCCTTCCTCTCTGAAATCAATAAAAATGTATTTTAAAAAAAGAATCTCCCTACTTATATTGTGATAATTAAGTATTTCCAGTTGTCTTAAGGAATACCTCAAAAACTCCCCAAAACATTTGACAGACAGCAATTAATTTTAACTCTAAAAAGGATATGCTACTACAATAGTCCCAAGACAATTCAATGTGG